ACACACACACACACACACACACACACACACACACACACAGAGTGTAGTGTAGGGGTATATACTGAAATGAAGTCCCAAACTCCAAACTGTGGCTACTCTGCAGGGACTGCCACTATGAATACCTGATTTTTAAAAAGGAAGTCATAAGTTATTTCTTAGATTGGGTAACAGAAATAGAGGGGTGTTCAGAAATTGTCCTTTATATCCAAGTCTGAAACATATCATAACATACATGATCCTGGGCCTCTACAGGCAGACTGTGCTCCAGCCATTTCAGGACGCCAAGGACATAATGCCACATGGATACTGGGCCAGAGGCCAAGGTACCAGTGCTACTGCCAACTCTGAGTGCCCATGTCTCCCTGTGACTAGGGATCTGAGGACTAGCTGTTCCACTGTTAGCAGCTGCTCTGAAGAATACCAGCCTCTCAGGAAACAAGAGGAGAACGGAGGAGCTCTTAACTGAAATCTCTGCCTTCCTGCACCGCAGTGACTCTTCCCCATCTGTTCTGCCATCTTCCCATGACTCAGGACTGCCCTTCTTTTTAATCACCATCGTACAGCTTTGTTTATTAACAAAGTCTGTATAGTCCTCTTAGGAGAGAAAGTGAAGAGAGACCACTGGCATCCCAGACTAAAGAGGCCTTTAGTTAGAGGCAGGCAGTGGCCAGCAGCTGTGGAGTGCTGAGGGCAGGGCTTCATGCTCAAGCTTCATGCTCAGAATCCTCGGGTTGCCTTGGGCTCTATTTCCTAAGGCCTAGAGAGAAAGCACTCTTGTCTTATGGGTTTCACTTCCTACAGCTCCCTGAAGACAACTGGGATATCCTCAAGACATGGGAAGGTTATACCTTGGGACCCCGCATCCTTCAGGCAGTAGGGTAGATACACCCTGGTGATACATCCTATGGGGGTGAAAAAGGCAACCCAAGAAGCATCTCCAGCACACCAGGCATCACAGCCCTCCTCAGAATCACTTCCAGAAAAATATTATTTTTGATCCACAACTTGCCCTGATGTCTCTAGACCAATTTTTAGAGTAAAAGATAAACAGTGAATAAAGAACTACAGCATGGACTCTGCTGTAGTGATTTCTAGTTCTTCAAAAGTTTTTACATTAGTTTCCAATTTTACCCTTTCAACATTTCCATAAAGTAATCTCCCTCTACATCAGAGCTTGTCAAATGTAGAAGAGACACTCAAGGTCACACAGTGACTCAGAGCCAGGAGCCAAGTAGGGATAAGCACTCGGGCCTCCAGCTCCCAATCTGGCACTCTCTCCACTAAACCACACTGAACGCAGCAGGAATGAAATTAGAACTGAGCACACCTACATTTCCAATTTCATCTCTCAACTCTGCTGAGCATGTGTAGAACACAGATGTCATGTGCACTGAAAGCTGATTTCAGACATTACCCTGAAAATACGGATTCCGTAACAGAACTCCCTTCCACCCTGTCTTGGTTTTGCATTTGTATCTCATGTCTCTCTGAGCCTGTCAAAACATCTTACGCATATTATTCCCTTGTGAACACCTATGTGAGGTAAGAGAAGTAGCTAGAAATAAAATGGGAAGAAACCACATAACAGAAATTAAAAGGGAAGCAATCCTGTTCTGTCTCTGGAAGTTCCAGAGACAGAACAAGAAAGTGAAAAGGGATCCAGCTTTGCTGTGGAGTTTTTCAAGACGTGTAAGTGCAAAGCTATTTTATATTTCAGACATTTCAAGTCAATCTTTTGCTTGTATGCAACTCAGGTCAGTTGAGGAGGCCCACTCAAGCAATGCACAGGCTACAGAAGATAAACCCAATACTAGAATCCTGACAATCATTCTAGTTACTATCTGAAATTCCAGTTTCTTCAGTTAAAATGGACACAATAACCATGCTTGTTACAGTCATCCAAAGGACTTAGTAAGCTATAGTGAATCCATCTCCCAACAGTGTGCGGCACTCAGTAGGTCTTCCTATCTTCTTTCTTTCCCATCAGTAGTGTGGCTCATATTACACACAACTGAGAATTTCTCGTTGCAGGTTCCTTTGTAGTATCCTTTGTAGTAAAGCACTGCTGTAACACATCCTAGACACTGTCAGTTAGCACACGTAGCTGTGTCCAGCAGCAGCCACAGACCTGGGTGAGGTTCAGACAGCCAATCAATGTGGAAACCATGTTTTCTGGCTTGACTTAGGGATAAGTATTTTCTCTCCTGTTTAAAAAAAAATAGTTATTTAGTCATAATCTCTAAGCTTTTCTATCTCTGCAATGAAAACATAACCAAGAAAGCTGATAAAGAAGCTTTTGCAAACAAGACAAATACCCAAATGAACAAAACCAAACCCTTTCAAAGGAAAATCTCTGTCCTTTCCCATCCACTATGGCTTCACACTGCCACTTGAATAGAAGACAGTAAATAGTGACACATGTTTACTAGCTTCACATTGTGGTTCTAAGTCTGACCATGCAGCCCAGACCAGTTCTTTCAGGATACAAGCGGTCTTGGAGGTAGCAGCCCCACCATAACTTCCCTGAGGACCAGACCAGGGTAAACCCAAGGAACTGTCTTCTGTAGGCAAATGAAAGGAGAGTGGGAAGAAGGCATCAGCAGCATGGGGGCTGCTGTTTATTCTCTCATTTACATTCCTAGCGACTCTCCTAATGCCCCACACAAAGAGGTAAGGCAGACCACTGACTTCACGAGGGTAATTACTGAGTTCCTGGAGCCTAAACGGGACCATTCCTGGCACATTATTCTGAATGGCAGCAAAGTCTGGACCAGTTAGGAGAGGAGAGGTTTGTGAGTGCCTGGTTAATGCTCTATTTTCTTCCATTTTCCCCTCAAGAATAAGTCTGAGAGTACCATTTTTGGAATGATCTAGCTCATATTTTTGGGATGTCAATAAGCTCATGCTTTACTATTTCTCATAGGCCTGGTGTCTGGCATAGAGTCAGATGTCTAGCACCTACTGAGGACCCAGAATGTTTGTGGCTCAATACAGAAAAAAGAATTCTCAAGTGTTTTGAGACATGGTCTTGGTATGTAGCCCAGGCTGGCTTCAAACTCATGATCCTCTTGCCCCTATCTAAATGCTGGGATCACTGTTATCCAGTCTGCATGATGTTCCCAGAGTCTTCCAAATTCCCAGGTCCTTCAATAGATTTCTTCTTCAAAAATCTCTGTTGTTGTCAAATAAGTAAGTAGGTTCATACCCTACTTAAAATTCATTAGAACAACCAAAAACAAAAACAACAAACCCAATCAGGAATTTAGATACCAAAGAACTCATATCTGAACTAGGAAATAGACTTCTCTCAAAGGACTTTTCAAAACAGTCAATAAAGTCCATGAAAAACCATGGAGCACTGTGATCTGAAATGAGCAAGACCTGCTTTTATCACTTACTTTGAGAGACTCATAGTGATCCTGTCTAATATCTTCATACTCTTCCAGTATTTCTTCAAAGTAGTCATCTTTCAGATTTTCATCTAACAGCTGAGAACACTGAAATGCAAGATAAAGTTCAACAACCATGAGGCAACAAAGGAAGGTAAACACCACTGAGGTCAGGGAGGAGGGTCAGCAGACAAAGATGCTTGCTGCCAGGGTTGACCTCTCTAATCCCTAGGACCCATGGTAGAAAAGAACTAGTTCCTACAAGTTGTCTCTGACTTCCATACACACCATGACACTGCACTGCCACGACCACTCCCATCCCCCCACCCCATCCCCCAGAGAAACCTCGGGGTACACTCAACTCAGTATAATAGTGATTACTGTACAAACTCCATATAAATATAATATATACTCCATATAATAAATGCACAGATCTAAAATTTTTCCTTTCAGAAGATAGCTCAGAAACTGTGGTCACTGTTATCCAGTCTGCATGATGTTCCTAGAGCCTTCCAAATTACCAGGTCCTTCAGTAGATTTCTTCTTCAAAATCTCTGTTGTTGTCAAATCATGCTCTTTCACTGAAAACTACAAATGTGATTAAGGACAGAAGGGGCTGCTTAGCTCTTTTCTATCTTACACTGAGTTTCTAGGTGAATAACTTGGAACCTGAAGGACCATGTGCTCTCTCAGATGTCTCCCAGCTGTTGTAGCCTATTTAGCAAACACATGAGAATGACAATCAGGATTTACTAGAAGACAAGGGAAAGACACCTGGGCAAGGTTTTTGTTAAGTTCATCAAGAAACTACTTATTACTCTGGGTTTTAAACATCTGGTGACTGTTCTGATTTCTGGCTAAGTCAGCTGGCCTTATCAATTTCTTATAACCAAGACAAGGTCATTTTAAAAATCCTACATTCCAGTTAATTCTAGCAATAGTCAGAGAAATCTTCTCATATTTGTAGACTAAAGGCATCTGTGAACCTGGTCAGATGTTCAAGAGCAAGGCATGGTGGTGCCATCTTTCAGCTTCTGCTCACTTCTGTCAGCATGCCTGAAAGCACAAGATGTGCTAGCAGGGCTTACTTCCATCAGGGCAGACACTGCAGTGGCACCCCATCAACCCGAGCCTGCTCCTTCCCATTTCTTTAGTAAAACTGGCCAACACAAAATGGATCTTGGGTGATAGCTTGGCTCTTAATGCTTTCCTTGTTCTCTCTTTACAGCACATTTAAAATAAAAGGAAGGCTCCCACACTCACCACCACCACACTCTTGGATGCATCTAGGACGTGGATTACAGGCGCACTGTATCGTGGTGCTATTTTAACTGCTGTGTGGGTTCTGAAAATAAGGGTCAAGAAGAAAAGCATATCCATCAGAGCTGACAGTTCCTTGCTCACACTACTTGTGCTCAGCACCATTAGAGATAATATGTTTCTACAGTATTTTCAAGAGAGACTTCAAGGTACTTACTTACAAGCAACTTCAAATTTCCCTTATAAACTAAGAATGACTTTTCCCATCCTGAGATGGAAAAATGGGGTGAAATGATATGAACTGATAGGCCTAGGTTCCAAGGGAGTCTGACAAAATGAGAAAGGTTTGTTCATAGTTATCTGCCAGGCCTGCTTGAGCAAAGGGAGGAAACAGTCCCTGGCAGTCACACCCTACTGTCATCAAGGTCAAGGTTCTTCCTCCAAATGAGCTGGGACACCAGCCAGCACCCTGGGGAAGCAGGAACCAGGCAGAAGACACAGGACACAGATCTGACTGCGGCCTCCTCTTTGAAAGAGACAGCTATACCATTGGCCTCAACCTTACCTTCTAATTGTAAAAAAAAAAAAAAAAAAAAAACTCTAGACCTGAAATTCAACAAAAAAATAAAACAGAAAGAGGCAGGGATATAGCTGAGCAGTATAACTCTTGCTACAACGTAGGAAGCCCTAGGTTCAATCAATCCCAAGTAACACAAAAGTGAACCAATTAATTAAAGCACAGAAGTAACACAATATTTCATACTTACATTTGCTCAGCCCCAAGTTTCTACTGCCAAATTTTAACATATAGCTACTAGGAAGAACAACTTTTAATTTTTAAATATCATATTAAACATGTTAAAACATATGATCCTGAGTGTTTGGTGCTTAGAGCAATAGCGTAAGCTATATATTGACAATTTCATTTAAAAAATATACAAAAGCAAGTGAGAACTGGAAACACACACAGCCTCCTCCAGTGAAGATGATGAAGATGGATGGCTCACAGAAGCCCACCAGGTGTTTCCTGCTGTTTCTTTCTCCCAATCAGGTATTTTCATATTATTTCCCTCAGCCAAAGTATATTATAATCTTTTTACTTCATATCATGGCCTAGTCTACAATTATAGTATTTTATGTAAATGATGCCTGGCTAGTGTCTTAACAAGTCTGGTGAGATGGCTCAGCCAGTAACTGTCCTTTCTGTACAACTCTGACAACCTAATTCAATCCCTGGAACCTTAAGGCACCTGCTGCTAAGCATGGAACATAAATTCAATCCTTTGGACCACAAAGAGAAACCGCTGTTCCCCAAGTTGTCTGACCTCTACATACACACCATGGCATAGGCGCACTCAAGAAAACTCCGCAAGGTTGTCCTCTGACTCCCTTCCCTCTCCCTCCCCCAACCCCACATTTAAAAAAAAAAAAGCAAGGAGAAGAAAATAAAGATGGAGAAATCAAAATGAAATCAGAAGTAAGAACAGCACCTAAAATTCTAAGCTTCCCTATGGAAAGCTTATGGTCAGTGTAAACAGGAAGACAAAACTTCTGAGCAATTAAACTAACTAACTAACTAACTCTCTCTCTCTCTCTCTTTCTCACTCCCTCCTTCCCTCCTCCCTCACTCAAAAAATTATCTATATAGTAGAGCAACGTGATTTTGTTAAATTTTCTTTTCTTTTTCTTTTTCTTTTTTTTTTTTTTGGTTTTTCAAGACAGGGTTTCTCTGTGTAGTCCTGGCTGTCCTGGAACTCACTCTGTAGAACAGAGTGGCCTCGAGCTCAGAAATCCACCTGCCTCTGCCTCCCAAGTGCTGGGATTAAAGGCATGTGCCACCACTGCCCAGTGTTAATTTTTCAATAAAAGAAAAAAAGTAATTGCAGAACCTACTTTGTAGTAATTGGCTATACATTAGTTAAACGACACCTGACTTTCAGAGTATACACCCCTGTGACGTTCTGCCCATAACAAGGCTAGATTTCCTTTTGCGATACCATATGACCCACACTGCAGATAGAGTAACAATTGGTTTTCTCTTCTATAAATATAGGTTTAAAAGGGATACTCCAAGTATATTCCCACCCATCTCTGACCTCTAACCTTCACTGGATGGTCATATCTTGTACTCAAATGTCTCAGAAGCACAGCTCTGGTTCCTGCTACTATTGGAAAAGTCATACCTTATCACCCTCAGAAATCTGTCTCCTGAAACCATATAAAACCTGAGCTGTCATCTGGCAAAAGGAAGAATTAGGCCCTGCTGAACCCTCAATTACCTAAGGAGAAGCAACCAGGGTCTCAGGAGAGTTTTATTTTTCTTTTGTTTGGTGGCTCTTATAATAAAAAGGAGCTCATAGCAAATATCTGATCTTAATGAAGCAAACTATGATATAAAAATATTTTAATCACGAATCCAAGGTCCCAGGTACACAATTCCTAATGTAGAGGTTTGTCATAGTCCATAATCACAACTTTTTAAAGTCTTTACTTTGACAACAATCCATAGATCTCTTGCCAGTTTCCATACTAAGCAAAAGACCAAGTTAATTTCATAAAGCCCAAGTTATTGACCAGGCCTGGTGGTCCAAACCAATCATCCAGCTACTTGGAAGTTGAGACAGAAGACTGCAAATTCAAGGCCAGCCTGGGCTAGAGTGAGTTCAAGACTAGGCAATTTAGTGAGACCCTGTCTCAAAGTAAAAAAGAAAAGATTTGAAGTAAAGAGTGGGCTGGGGACATAGTGCAGCCAGTGAGAGAGATCTTGCCTAGCAAGCACAAGGCCCTACATATAGGTTCCAGTACCAAAAGAAAACAAACTCAAATCCTCTTTATCAGTGTTCCATCAGATCCTGTAAGATAATTCTGCCACTATGCTAGTAAGTAAGCCCCTGGTGGGAAAGAACGCCAGTTTTCTAACATCAGCAACAATGGCTGAACTGTCAAGTCACTGCAGCATGAAAACTATCAATGGGTAAAAATGTAAACATTCTGCTACTTGTGGAAACTCTCCATTCACATGGCAAATAATATGATGGCTAATTCTGTGTGTGAGCTGGGATATAGCACACTACGTGGTTTGATACTGCATGCAGTCTAAATGTTACTCTGAGGGTATTTTTTTAGATGTAATAAACACTTAAATCTGTAGAGTCAGTAGATTATCCTCTATAATGTGATTAACCTCAGCAATCAGAACTTGAGAAAAAGATTAAGCAGTCTCATGAACTCCTATCTCTTGTACAAAGAACTGCTGCCTGAAGACTGTCCTCAGACTTGGGACACCAACAGCAGCCCTTGCCTGATACTCCAGCCCACAGATTCCAGATCTTCCAGCCCCATAATCACACAAACCAATTCCTAAAAATAAATCTCTGACTCTCTGAGGAGTTCTAGAATCTTATGACCAGACTAGAATTTCATTTTTACATACACACACACACACACACACACACACACACACACACACACACACACACACAAATCCCAAACAAACTTCGGAACCACCCAGTTCAACTGGGACCACCCTGCCAACCATCAAGTATCTGTGATGTAAGAAATGATACAAAAGCCTTGCATGTTTCACCATGACCATGATCCCAGGAAGAGCTTCAGTTAGACACTGCCTATATATATGAGTCAGTGTGAGCATTCTCCTCCTTATAGCTTTTATCCTAAGGTTCCCCCAAGTCTTCCTCTCAGGAACAACTCCTCCACCTGACTTCTTCATTTTCATTAGTCTATCTCCAAAGGTTTAAGCATCTTCAATGGAACTTATAATTACTTAGCCAGACTCCTGCTTAGAGTAGGCAGAAGTGCAAGCACCAGCTTTCTGGAAATCAACAAAACAAAAGAACACTGCCTTTTGCTATTGAGTGTGAGTTCAGGAAGGTTCAGAGTACACTATAATTCTTAGGAGCTGCCTGTAAGATGAGAGGATTAAAGAAAAGTCAAGAATGACAGAAGACAGAACCCAAAACACGGCAAGGGGAGAGAATCACAAAGGAGTTTCCCAGTTTGCAGAAGGCTCCAGAAGCCTTCTGACACTTCCCCAAAGAAAGAATGGGAAGTTTGTGCAACAAGGAGACAGAATGCTAAGCAAAGGGAGAACAACAACAAACTTCACCACTGTCTTAAAACACTGGCATGTGAGAGAACTTAAAGTGAGCATGAGGCTGTTCGTGCTGACTTACCTTGAAGTGGTTGCTCCTCCTATCAACAGTGGGATCTTTATGGCCAACCTCTCCATTTCCTTGGCAACAAAAATCATTTCATCCAAGGATGGAGTGATGAGTCCTGACAAGCCAATTATATCTATTGTCAAAAGAGAAAGAAACATTGGCCAGTGAGAATGAAAAAGAGAGAAAATGAAGTAAGACGCTTTTTAAAATGTTGTGCTGAAGATCAAAAACTCTACCATGTCAATTTCTAATTCGAAGAATTTACCATTTGCTTTGGTTAGCAAAGTGTAACTTAAATTTGTAGTGACATTATTTGTAACGCATTTAGAAAGCCACACAATAAAAATCATCTCTAGTTCATAATTATCTCAGGCTTGACCATAAAAACAACTATACAACTGTTTCCTCTAAGAAGCCAGCCCACTCCACAACTAGAACTAAGAGGAAGCCCACAGACACCCACACACCTCCTTCAAGCCCCAACAGCCTGCACTGGAGCCTGCTGCTCAATGTTCCCTCAGACTCTGCAAGGGCCAGGCTTTCCCATTCCCCAGTACAGACTCTCAGAATAATGCTGAATGCTATGCCCAGAGGACTGTGGACAGTACCTGCTTTGTGGTCCAGAGCAGCTTGTAGAATCTTATCACAGGGAGTCATGACTCCTAAATCAATAACTCTGAGGCAAGAAATGAGATGTGAGAAAATAAACATAAGACAAAGCTGAACTAAACATTTTAACTTCAGCCACCAAATGGTGCTCTCCTATAAACTGAAACCACGTTATCAAAGGTCATCCATAGTAGTCTTTTTAAAGGGAGAATAATATTCTATTGTATAAATATACTACATACTACAGCTTAGATTTGAACTCTCCTTCCAAAGGCCAGTGTTCTGAAAGCTTGTTTTCCAGGATGGCATTTTTATGTACTGTTATACTTATGCTTTAAAGCAGGACCCCCCTCTTTTTCACAGGTATTATGAGGCTTTTACCTGACATTTCTCATTATGATGTGGTGTTGCCACAGGACCAAAAACAACAGAGCCAACAAGGGGCTGAAATTTCTAAAATTATAAGCTGAAAGAAATCTTTCTTACAGTGACAGAGAGTTGATGGACCCACTGCATTTGTCCACCTATGGACAGACCCCTGGGTGGTTTTGACTATGTTGTGACTGCTGAGTGTACTTTAAACCCTCACCTTAATTCTGTGTCACAAGTACTACTCACAAATATTCCTCCAGACCCATTTTAAGGAAAAAAGGGATTGGATACGCAAGGTCCCTTCACTCAGTTAGCTGGCAATAGAGTTGGGAAATATATCAGAAACTAACACAAAATCCACTACCATATCTATTCAGGTCAAAAACTGTGCTGGTGGGAGCCAGTAGGGAGGACGAATGGGAAGAAGTTCGTCCCTGCACATGCAGAGCAGCTGCTGGGCAGAACTAGTACTTAAGGCAAAGGAAGGAAGAGAAAGTGACTCAGAAACATCATCAAGAGAGGTCAGCAAGGTTCAAATAGAAAGACAATTCTGAGTGAGCACACAAGAGCAAACACTGAGACAAAACAGGGAACAGAGTCTAGAGAAATGGTTCAACAGTCAAAAAGCCCTTGCTACTCTTGGAGTGGATCATAGTTCAAATCCCAGCACCATAATGTGACTCAAAACCCCTGTAACTTCAGCTCCAAGGTGGGAAGCGGCTTGCTTATCATTCTTATTGCATGCCGTCTTATACGAACGGATTTGTATCTTGTTCCCATATTCCTTTTTACAAGAAATTTGTTTTGTTTTTGAATTAACCAACACTATGGAACCCTTGACAAAAAGTGAGACAATTTCAAGTTGACAGAAAGTACACTGGACTCTGTTAGTATTAACCCTAGCAAACAGATGTCCTCTTGGGTTACTTTTATTTTTTAACATACTGAAGAAAACCTAGTAACTAAAGATCTTTTGTTTAAGATGACTAAGTATACACTGTTGAATATAAAACTAAGCAAAAGAGCAAATAGCTTTTAAGTCAAGACAAACAACGTATACACCTCAAAGCTGATCCTTTACGACACTATATTACGGTTCTGACATTTTTGTTGTGAGCCTAGCCTTTAATGGCTGAACCATCTCTCCAGTCCTATATATGTTATTAAATGTGATTAAAAAATCATCAGAACAATGACAATTATCTTGCTCTCACTATTCTCTCCTGCTTGAGCTTACTGTTTTCAGGTACAACTTAGATGCATGAGAACAATCAAGGTGATAGCTGTAGATAAACAGAAACAGGAAAGAAGGTTGTGGGGAAAGGACAGAGACTACACACTATACTCCAAAGCAGCAGAGGGGCTTCTCCAAACTCAGGGTCAAGGGCCACTATCACACAATGGAACCCACACTTTTCAACTGAGCCCAATTAAAAATTGGCCTGAATTTCTCAGAGATTGTGATTTCACTGACAGAATAGTATCCTGGCAGCCCTCAGATAACACCCTTAAAAAAAAAGTCTTTGTAAACCAGGGTAAGGACTATGAGCTATTCTGATAAAAAGAAGTCTGTGCAGGGGTTAAATGGAAGGGTAAGATTCACTCCGGTCAAACACATTCACTATGGAACCAGAAAAGTTCAAAGAAAATGCAGAGACTGGCTAGGCTGCTACACAAACCCAGACATCAAACAGCAGTGATCTGGCCTGTAGAGAAGCAGTACCGTGATGAGCTGGTCATACCCTATAAACACTGTAAGAAGAACAACACCCAGGGCTTTGTAAGAGTGTTTTGAAACAGGGGTGAGTTGCGGAAATGGTCTTAAGATGATGGAAACTAATTCTATTTTCAAAATTTTAGTTTGCAATTTCAAAATAAATGGGGCCCTTTAAGCACTTTCATGAGCATGTTTGGCTGAAGCCTAGGAAGAGAGATCCACATGAAGACACTGGGGTCTTACCAATGGCAGATCATACAGAGTCAAGACATTGGATAGATGATATGGTTGGTATGCCTAACTACTGGGGAATTCCTGTACCTGTAGCACTAATGCTACCAGACAACTCCCTAGAAACGCAGGACTTGAAACCTTTTCTTCTCCAGACGTAAGTCTCAAGGTGTCCAATGAGAAGGGTCAGGAAAGGCTAAGAAGCATCATTCTAAATAGAAGAAAAGCCCAAGGGCCAAGCCTGGAGGGATTCCTGTGTTTGAGGATGCTCAGAAAAGAAAGAACCAAAAGGAGGGTGACAAGTAGTGGTCGGTGAGAGAGAGTGGGGACAGTGAGCAAGGGCACTGGGAAGCAACGTCAACCTGCAACTTTTTAACCTGCTATCAATAAGCCTTGCTGGGAAATGACTGACATATTTATAATTTCCTACACACAGTAAGTTAGGGCCTCATAAAGGCAGACACTTTTTGAGTACCAATCTAGCACCAAGGCTGCCCCACAGCATCTTCAAGGGCACACAGATGAATTTTGTGGCATACTTGCGAAACAGAAGCTCTGAGAGAGTCCTGCATGACAAGTGGTACAGTTGAAGTATTTCCAGTGTGGCACAGAGACCATTAAAACCAAACAACAACTAGAAGCATCTCAGGAGACACTAGAGTTACATTATGGGGAAAAAAAAAATAGGATTATCAGCTAGATGTAAGGAAGAAAAACCAAGGCAGATCCTAACTCATGATGATTAAGGGCCATGACCATCTAAAATTCCACAAGTTTCCATACCCCTTCTCCCTCCCGCCATTCTCTCTCACTTCTCCTTGTTCCCTCCCATTTACCTGCATCCTTCTCTACCCTTCGCTCACTATAAGTGTTGAATACCCCTTGTCTCAAGTTCAAGGCTACCCTGGTCTACTCAGTAAGACCTTATGTGGAAAAAAGAAATTGAAGAGGAGGGAAGAAAGTGATGAAAGTATACTTTTACAATGTTCTTCCTAAGAGTTTAGAACAGAGCTTTAAGAGCCGTATGGCGGCTCCCTGGGGAAAGGTACTAGCCACCACGTCTGACAGCCTGAGCTGAATCCCTGGAACTTGAATGTTGGTCATAACTAGCTCCTGAGCAAGTTGTCACCTGACTTCTACAAGTCCTTGTGTATGTATACACATAAACATATTGTTTTAAAAGTGTAAAAAGAGAGACAGAGCTTTAGGTATGTACTGTATTGGTATTCAAATTCAGGAAAACATGCTACAAAGCATGAGTTACTGACGGTGTCCAGTGCTATTTTAAATTACAAAGGATTTAGAAAATAACTAGTTCTCCTTTTCAGAAGAAGTCACAGAGGAAAGTGAAACTGTGCACATACCCAAGACGACCTAAGCCTCCATCAGTGGATAAATAGTAAAGAAATCCAATATTCACATGGAATGAAATACTACTAGTCAGCCATAAAAAAAAAAAATGAACTCTATCATTTGCAGGAAAATAAATGGAGCTGGTGGTCATAATGTTAAGTAAAACAATCCAGACACAGAAAAATTATCTCTCTCAAGTGAAGAGACGTAGAGAGTTGACCCTGAAGTATGAGAAAGTTGAAGAGTAAGTAACAGGTGAACAGAGTGAGAAGGGGGAGAAAGAGCTGGATGCAGAAGGGAAGGAACGAGCGCTCATGCTCCACAGCAGTGCAGTCCTCTACCAACCTACTGTGCAGAGTCCTCCTCTTCAGTGAGGATACACAGCGACAGATGCTAGATCCGTGTCAGCATATATTGTATACATATGTTTTAATGTCATACTGAGCTTTATAAATATGTAACTTAGGAATATATATTCCTTGTTAAATAAAAATAGGAGAAAGAGGTGGGAAAGGGGGAAAGAAAGGGGTACAAATGATATCACTTCTAGACTGCTGCCCCTGCAATTCACACATCCTACCACTAGATGGAAGCATCCTACCAGTTCAGTACCAAGCTATGAGTCTTCCTCCTCCTCCTCTTCCTGCTCTTCCTCCACTTGAGGTTAAGTACAGCAGTACTCACAGGGCTTATTACTGTTGCTCCCCTTTTTCTCCTCCACTTCATCCTAAATCTGCATATTTGAAGTCAGAAGATCCATCCGAAATCTGGGGCATACCTTCTGGTAGCAGCCTACCCAAAAGGCACAGAAAAAGGAAGCTTTTGCCCTTTGCTTGCCCAGGCTGGCCTGGAACTCACTATGTTGATCCACCCACCACTGCATTAAGTGGGATTTAAACCTATGGGGTTAAATACATGCACCATCACATCTAGCTCATTTTTACTTTAATTCTTGAAAGTTCTTTTTTCAAAATATGACAAGTGAAAGGCCTTTATATTCCTCATAACACTATGAGGTACTGGGGAGAAACTAGATTAGCATTAGCTGCCCTTGATGTACAGAACTTTTCTCTGGTGATAGGCAGATTTTCTTATATAAGTAGTGTTAAATGGGGAAGGCACATAACTGTCTTTTCCATAGTTGAGAGAGTATATCTAAAATCAACTGCCATGCAATCAATTATCTGATCAAAAATACTTCTGAATATTCTAACATTTCTCCATGAAAAATTTGAATATTAATGAGTCAATACATTTAAAGTTGATGCAGGTCAAAATAATACTGCCAAGTAAGTGACCCCAAAGAAAAGAGGCTGGCATTTCATTTTAATGAATAGTATTCAGGTGGAGGAAACTGCAGTCCAGATTTTCAAGGCTAGGAAAGAATACTGTCTTCAAGACAAAGGCTGGAAAGAAAGGTAGAAAGACTGGTCATGGGAAAGCTGCCCTCCTGACACAACCAGCCTCCTTCTTCCTGAGTGGAATCTAATCAGTGTTCCAGACGGGTCAAGTGTTGAGGAGAGAGGCTGGGAAGGCTCACTGCTAGCTGACAGCCGCAAACAGAACACAAAAGCCATAGCACCACCAGGCTCCTTCACCAGGGAAAATACACAGTGGAAAGCAGCCATGACTCCAAAGGACTGCGGACAGGACACTGAGACAGGATAGGCATTAGTGACTTTCTCATTGAAACATATTGTGACTCAGGGAACATGTAAACTTAATAAAAAAACCATTAGCCTACCTGAAAATAATTTGTTATGAATATTTATTCATTGTTATCAATGGGGGGCTTTTACCTGCATATATCATTCCAAATACTACTACTTCATGACTGTGGTGGCTAACGTTGGTTGTCAACTTGACTACACTTGGCAGTATCTAAAACCCAAGCAGCTAGATATAGTTGTAAGAGATTTTTCTTGACTAGATCATTTGAGGTCAGAAGCTTTACCCTAAATCTGGCCATCCTTTCTTAGTGACAGCCCACATAGAAGGACATAGAAGAAGGAAGCGTTTGTTTTCTGTCAATGTCCCTCACTCTGCTTCTATAGGATTCCAAAGTGAACTGAAAACTAGCTGCTTTTTAGGACCTCCCTAGAACTCTGGCATCAGATTGTGACTTCTAAGACATCCAGTCTCACTGACTGAATAACTACTGGATCCTGGACTTTCTGTCAGGAAACCATCACTGTTGCACTTCTTGGACCAGGGCCTGTTAAGCCTCTTTAATAAACCCATTACTAATATACAGACATATATTAGCTTATTCTGCCAGTTCTGTCCCTTAGAGAACTCTAATATAATCACCAAGACACACAGAGGGCAGCGAGACTAGTAAAGACAGAGCCTTCCTAGAAAGCCCATGTTGCCAACTCTCCGAAGAACCCTGGTCTAAACCCTAGCAGTTTGCTGAGTGGAAAAGGGTACATGCCATCCATGAAAAGTCTGATGAACATTAAATACTATGTCCAATAGATTCTCAAGAAGGCTCCTGGCTACCTGACCTAGCTATTACTTCCCGTTCTCTATGTCTTTTAACAAACACATAAGAGGTACATAATTATGAACCTACCAAAAAAAAAAAAAAAAAAAAAAAGAAGCTGTGTTCATAGTTGTAGAACCAAAAAAACCAAAACACCCCACCACATCCATGGCCATACCTTACCCTAGCCCTTTCACCCAGTAAAACATTTACATTCCTCTTTTAATTATCAAGGAATTGAAGAAGTGAGATCTCGACTTACCTGAAATTATTACAGCCCAGCACCACACCAACTATGTTCTTGCCAATGTCATGCACATCACCTTTAACAGTGGCCAGCACGATGGTGCCTTGGTAAGGGTCCTGCAAAGTGAGGCAAGCAGCTGAGCATGTGTAAGGGGTCACCAGGGAAGACCATCTGGTTCTCAAGAGCCACACAAGTGTTGGCAGAGGAACAGATACCAGAACTACTTCAAAGGTACATTGGGGACCCAAGCAACACTCTCCACTTGAAGCTATGTGTCTCCTACAAGTTCAAAGGAGGCCTCCCTAGCACTTAGCACAGGAATTTCAACTGAGCTCATAGGGTCCAGCATCTGAAAGAGTCAGCAGCCATATACAGAAATACTCCTACAGCTAAAGGCCACATCTTTAACCTTGAAACTGCCAAGGTATATTGCTGAGAGTTGTAAGAGAGAGACAGAGAGGAGTTAGCCAACTGCAGATTATCTCAGATTTTAAAAGAGCTCAGTCCAGGGAATGTATAAGCATCTTTTAATTCTCTAGAACAGTTCTTTTGTACACTGACAGCAACAACAACAACAAAAACAAACAAACACACAAAAAGCAATGGGAAGAAAAGGTATGGTATGCATCATCTCATTCAGCCAACTGCAAATGTAGATTAAGAATTTAGAATTCTAGTGTCCAATGTTGTCTGAATTTCACAGGGCTCTAAATAAAGTCGAAAGGCTAACGGCTGCTTCTGGTGATGTAGCTAGCAAGGATGAATGGAATCTACAAGAGGTACAACACTTCAACCAAAGAGTATCTGGGGAAGGGCTTTCTAAAAGCAAACCTGCCACCTCCAAAACTGACTCAGCTGGGAAAAGTACCTGCTGTAAAAGACCTGAGTTCAATCCCTGAGCACACAAACAGGGGGAAGGAGAGCACCCCTGCAGAAAAGCTTTACTGATGAGGTTCCCAACCTCGGAGAAACAAGCCTTCCAGGCCGTTGTGAAAGGCTCCAGGCCTGGACTAAATGACTTGCCTCTTCTTCAACTGAACCATTAAGCACTCTGGCTTCTTCCCGTTCTTTTTCCATGAAAGGGATAAGGTGGCCAACAGCCTTCTTCATGACACGAGCTGACTTTATAACCTGGAAAAAAGCAGAGTTGGGCATCATTAGCAAACCATCACATAACTGCCAGTGTTGACCCATGAAGCTTCAGGACCACTTAAGATCTGATGTGACCTTCCCAGATTCCTATCGTGAGCAAGATAAGGATAAGGGGTAAGGATAAGGTAGGGAATGACAATAAATAAGGAACAGCAAGAGGAAAACCAAACGAAACCAAAGGTTATAATTTCTGTTTCTAAACTTTTGCTTTGTAGGTTGTCGTTTTTCTCCCTAATGTTCTTGTACTGTGTCTCTGAATTCTATGCAACTTTTAAGTTTCATGTTACAATATGACTCATCCCAGCATTCTATAAATCCTGAGGATTTTAACTCATTTAAAACTGAGGTTTATGAAGAAGCCCTTTGAGTTTTTTACATACTTCAGAGCCCCTAACCTAGATACTCATCAAGGATTTGCTAAAAGATAGTTTTAAGTACTTGCTGTAATAAAGAGTTCTGCCTTTACTTAAAACATACTATTTTAAAGTCCCACTATTTAAAAGAGTAACACATTTTCAAAATATGTATTCTTAAAGAAGATCACTGGCTTGTCAAGTCAAATATTAGTATTAACATCACATATATCTTAGGTGGGCACTAAGGTAAGATGTGGTATGGTGTCAATGGCCAGCTTTGACATCCAGGGGGTAAACTGAGGCAGTCAGTCAGTGGAGTACAGCGCTGAGAGCAGCTGACAGGCAGTCTGGATACTGATGGGGGTTGCTAAAAATGGCAGCCAGTGATTAGAGAAATTACTCAGTAGATTTTTCTCTGAGGGAACAAAGCTTAATTTACTAAGGCTGGCACTCCCTGTGGCCACTGAAAAACTCTGAACTCTTTTAATTCCTTGGGGCCAGCAAGAAAAAAAAGGAATGAGAGAAAACTCATACACACTGAGTAAATGAAGCAAAAGGCAGACTCCAATAACTTTATACATACATGCATACAGACAGACATATACATACAGGCTCCAAGCATTTCACACATACACATATGTAATATACACACACAACTGGTGGATGAAGCATCAACATACACAGCCACATAAGCTTTACAAATATATTTACATACAGATTTGGTGGATGGAACAACGCTCCAACATATTTTCACATAAACTTTACACATGTACTTATACATGTATACATACATACTTGGAGGGTGAAAGGAACAAAGTTCCAAAAAGTTTATTCTTTCTCTCATGGCTTATATATCCCAGCAAAATCTTTCAAGCAGTATAAAATCATAATGTGATTATAAAATAGTTTTTTCTAGTAAATGACTAAAAAAAAACAGTATGTTCCCTAATATCTTTATAAGAAGTCACATTAGATATTACAGGAAAAGAAAACAATGATTCCCAAGAATTCACATACATCTGTCACTAAGTAACTTGTTATAGATTAACAAAGTGTGAGCAAGCAAGATGGTTTTCTCAGCCGGTTTCTCTTACTGGCAAGCAGCAATCTGCAGTTACAAAGAAATGATTAATTATTTTATTACCAATCATTAAAAGCAATTCTTACAAGAATCTTAAAAGAAAGACAAATTTTAACTTTTATATAAAAACCAGTCATATCTCCTTTAAATCCTAGAATGCATATTTACTCATCGGCATATCTCAGTAAATCTTATCGGGAAGCTGAGGGCAGAAATGGGTACAAGAAACCAATCATCAGCAGTCCAGCCTCAGCGAGACTCACGTCAGCCAGTGCTGCCATTGTTCTTGTTCCCTGGCCATAAAAGGTTCCTAGCTTAACTAATAAGAGTGTGCCTTTCTGAACTTTAAATTGCTCCCTAAGATTTTCTACATCAGAGCCAATAGCAAAAACATCTTAACCTAGCTTCACTCACTATTTTTCCAAATGCTTTCCAAGAGTGGTGGTCACAACTCTTAAGTTCTTCCCTAGGGTGGTGACTGAATCATTACTCTTTTCCAGCAGCAATGCCTGAACAAGATCAAGGACTACTGTTGAGAGTGCCAGAGATAGTACCCAGGAAAGACTGGAAACCCCCTGAGAGTTTTCATACAAGTCTTAGATTAAGAGGAACGTGAGGGCAGCAAGCAGAGCAGAACTCCATAACAGCATGAAGTCCTCAAGGTTGAGCCCCAACTGAGGCACACCCATCATGGCTGTGCTAACTGGTGAGCAGCATTCTATGGGTTCCAAAGCCACTTGTCACCTCCTTGGCAGTATGGAAATACTGAACATGCAGATTGTGGTGCTAAGAATATCTGCAAGCTTTCTAACCTGTGTACCCTGTGAAGATGGATTAGATGGGGATGGTTCCTAAATATCCCAGAGAAGGAGTGACCAGATAATACTCTGCCTATACTGCAACCTCAGAAAAAAAGCCTCAAACACACTATTTACTGAAAAGCAGACAAAGGAAATGTTACAATTTCTCTCTATTTTGCCAACCTGAGGTAGAAACATTTTTCCAGCTCCAAAAAGATCACCAACCACTTTCATGCCATTCATCAGGGGCCCTTCAATTATATTCAGAGGCCGAGGGTATTTTTCCTGGTTTAACCTGGCTTCTTCGGTATCTTCAACAATGTGCTTTTCAATGCCCTTAAAAGAAAAAAAGAAAGAAGAAGTAGGGGAAGGGAACAAACAGTAAACTGTATTAAGGCCAAAAACAAAGACTGAGTCACAGGGATGCTTAAGAACATAAATCCCAGAATCAGCCAGATGGAGTCTGAGTCCTTGTTCTCATCACCAACACAGGCAATTTACTAGGTTTTGGTTTCCTCACTTACAGAATCACAAAAGTACTAACCTCATGCTTTTTGACAATCAATGTGATATAATTTATCTACAGTGCCTAGCTAATAATAGGAAGTAAGTACACAGGAAAAAAAAGAGCTATTAGTGAAGACTAGGAATGTAGCTCAGTGGTAAGGCATGTGCTTAACATGTGAGGGTCTGGGTTCAAGCCTGAGCAACTGGTTATATGCTAGCAAAGGCACAGGTCTATGAAATCGGTGTCTGCTCAAAGAGGTTTGGTAGTGCATGCCTTTAACTCTAGCATTCAAGAGGCATTGGCAAGAGGATCTCTGTAAATTCAAAGCCAGACAGGGATACACAGTACGGTCTTGTCTCAAATAAATAAATAAATAAATCTGTATCTTCTCTCACTATAACATTACTTGGCTAGAATAGGATTCAACATTTTAAAGGTTGTTAAAAGGTAAAGTCGACAAACTGAAAGATACGACTCTCAGAAGAATTAAAAGTTGAATTCTAGAGCCAAAACAGTCTGGAATGTCTCAGACTCACTATAGGGACTAGGGACAGTTCCTGACCTCAGAACTACTAATTGGGCTGGGCAAGTCCTTGCTGTGTATGTAGGCCTATCTTGTACACTGCAGCCACTGAGTTCCAAAGCATCTGCCACACCCATCTATGAAAACACAACACATCTTTAGACACTGTCAAACGAGCTGAGAGCACTGACAAACAGACATCTTCAGGTTAAAAATCTACAGTCAGAAGTCTAGGGCATCTCCCCCTTCAACTACTGTCAGCAATGGCACCAGGGAGCCACAGGGAGGCACAGGGAGCCACCAGGCTTCCAGTACAGACTCTGGTACTCACCTTCACAAGAGCATACTCCAGGCGCTCTTCAATCGAGCCATTCCTCCACTCATCTGACTGGATGACTTTTTTCCCTCCTTTGCCATGAGTCTGAATTAAAGAAGTGGATATAAACAGTATATAGTTAAGTCTCTGCAGTAAATAAAAAAGTCAGTGTCTTATTCTTCAAGTTCCCAGACCCCAGGGTGTTCAGCATGAATCAAGACTGAAGTAAATGGTGAGAGAGAAAAAGAAATCTTTTAAAATTTGAACTTTCAGTAGAGAAAAGAAATGATTGTATTTTTTTTTCTTTCCTTCTTTCCTAAAACTTAACAACTGACATCGAAGTATCTCTAGGACATAGGGTTATGCTCTAACACTCCAGCTCTCAGGAAGGATCAATGTCACCCACACACAACTGATGAGAAGCTGGGAGCCATGAGTAGTAGTGGCACACTCCTATTCCCAGCACTTGGGAACCTGAGGCAGGAGGATTTTGAGTCCCAGGCCAACATATACTACATAATGAAACCTTGTCTCAAACTCAAAAGGAAGAAGACTTGAGTGAAGACAGAATGTTCCTGGACGTGGACACACTGGGTGGCATAAGATCACCCACATCAAGATTTCACCATATCCTAAGGAAGGGAGGAAGAAAACATAAAGAGTACACGTCTGGGGCTGAATGAGTGCAGGATGTGTAACAGTAACATGCAAGCTTGAGGGACTAGAGCCAATTCAGGCACTGACAAAGGGCTTCAGAGAACCTGAGTCTCCAGGGAAGAAACTCAGAAAAGGGATGAAGGCACAATGCAAGTATCCTGACACACAAAGTAGATCACGCTACTTTATGTTTCTCCCTCCACTGGTGGCATCAAGTGCCCAAATAGGAAATCTCAGTGTTGAGCAGCCAGACGGCTCAAAGGACAAGCACTCGCTATGAAGCCTGATGATCTGAGTTCAATCCCTCGGAAGTGTATAAATGTAGAGGGCAAGAAGTGGCTCCAAAGTTTCAGATTACCACACGTGTTGTCTGCAGGCCCAGGAAGGCAGGGTACAGCTCCTACTACTCAGACCCTGGGAGTCAGGTAGAGCAGCTTGGTGAACATTAGCTGAATGATTGAATGACTGACCAAATTGATACTGCTGGAGCAACGTTTATGCAAGGTAAGAAAGGCCAAATCACAGAAATCATTCTGGACTTTAGCCTTCAGACAAGTGTAGAAAGGGAGAAGAGGGTATTCAAAGTTCTGGAGCCAGAGACAAACTCAAATAAACTCAGAAGGGGAATGTGCAGACACCTATAATGAAGGCTGATAACAGGAAGAGAGAAAGATAAACATAAAGCCATTACATAACAATGACTATGAATGACAGGCGGAATTAGAAAGAATGCCAAGGTTATAAAGGAGATGTACATGCATCATCACTTGTATAGCAGTAGCACAGACACTGTGGGTAGGATAGACTTGAGGCCCACTCCTTTAGACGGAACCCATGCCTGACCCAGCCCAGGTGGTCAAGAGCCTGAGACAATAAACCTGCAGAAAACCAAGTACTGTTTTTCTGCTTTACAGACCAGTGTCTCACTCAGCTATCATCAGAGAGGCTTACCCTTATAATCACTGGGAACTAACACTGAGACTCACAACTGAACAATGTACAAAGAATTAGAAACTTTGTAATACCCAGTCCTTAAATAGCTTGTCTTTAAACCCCTCCCTGCAGGAGAGCTATGAGGAAGACTGTAAGAGCCAGAGGGGAAGGCTGACACCAAAGAAACAGTGTCTTGCAGACACAACAGGACTGATAAACAAACGAACTCATACAGACTGTGGCAGCATGCACAGGGCCTGCATAGGGTCAAGGTGGATAAAGTCCCAGCATTGAGAGGGTAAGTGGACACAGCTCCCATCCCAAACCAAGGGGTTATCTCCAATTGACAACTGTTTGCAAAAGAAAAATTGGTTTTCTCCAATGAAATCACACTGGCTATATAAACCACATTTAAGGGCAAGCCCCATGCCCAGCAATAGATGGCCAACACAAAGTAAATTAAATGCTATCTTTGTAGATTTTCTTTTATGTTTGTCTCATATTGCTTTGTTTTTATCTTTTTTTATTGTATATTATGGTTTCCAATTTTGTGTTTCTATGGATTTTGTGTATGTGAGTGTGTATTTCTTGTCCTTTTTCTTTTCTTTTTTTTTTTCTTTAGTAGTAGTAGAAATAGTAGTAGTATCAGCAGCAGCAGCAGCAGCAGTAGTAGTAATATGTTTTCTAAAGAGAGAAAGAAGGCATAGAGTCAGACAGGAGAGAAAATAGAGAAGATCTAAGAAGAGTTGAAAAAGGGGAAACCATGATCAGAATAATATATTGTAGGAAAAAAAATATTTTCAATAAAAAATATATGTGCATATACAAATGTATGTATTAAAAAATGACTAGAAGTTGTAATAAAACCCCATCCTACAATGGTTAACTTCAGGGGGTAAGATTGTTAGTAATTTTGATTTTCTTTTGACTACTATATTCTATGACTTTTGTACAACTTAATGTGAGATATTTCAAATTCAAAAATCAACGTAGAGAACTCTAGGTTCAGAACACTAAAGCATCCTAGAAAAGATCTACTTCTCCCTCCTGGTCTGCAATAGTTTCTTTAGAGCTATAAAAACTATGGTGATGACGATTAGTGATCCAGAGATACAACTCCACATTTGTTCCTATTCTACAGTAAAGGTACAGTAACTGCCAGTGAGTGATATATCCTAAGGCAGGAAATGACACCCTGGACACTTTTTCCTTTACCTGGGCATATCGTAAGAGCTTCTCAGTAGCCTCAGAGTCTTTGTTCCAGATGAGGTCTTCACAGAGCTGAAGAAGGTCCTTATGGATATCATCGTACACAGGGAGATTGCCGGCATTGACTATCCCCATGTCCATACCAAACTAAGGGCAATACAAAGGAAAATGAAGATTTCCACTGATACCCTAAATTAGGGATCAGAGAACAACTTTGTAACATAGTCAGTCACTGTTAGTCACTATTCAGCTCTACTAAAAGTAGCCCTAGACCAGGACAGAGGTGAAGGGGTGAGTGCACTCTGCTCTACTGAAGCTTCATTTAAAGGAGACAGAAGCAGGCCAGTTATCCTGTAGGACTCACTTTGTAAACCCTACTCTAAGTCAAAGCTAGAGCGCCATCATTTTTGTTTCACTTATTTGAAAAATCTTGTGTGTGCGTTTATGATGCATATACATACCACGGAACATGTACAAAAGTCTGAGGACAACTTTGGGTGTTGGTTCTTGCCTTTCATATTGTTTCAGACAGGGTCTCTTTTGTTTACCACTGGACATGACAAGCTAGCTGGTGCTACAATCTTCCAAGGATTCTGTCTCCATCTCACCTGCTATAGTAGGAGCTACTACTATACTTAAGTTTCACATAAGCTCTGAAATTTCAACAAAAGTCCTCAGTTTGGGCAGTGAACATTTTACCCACAGAGCTATCTTCCCAGCACCTAAGTCAAAATTGGTTTTACCATACCTTGATTGCATGATAAAGGAAAACACCATGCATTGCTTCTCGAATGGCTTCCATTCCTCGGAAGGAGAAGGATAAGTTGGAAAGACCTCCACTTATTCTGACTCCTGGTAATGTTTCCTGGCAAGAATGTAAAAGCATGAAAAAAAGTCTCCTAGTTTCCAAAAGCCACCATCAGCCACACCTTGTAAGTGCTGTACAAAGGAAAAGTAAAAAGCAAGAAAGTCAAAAGTAACTAACTCTGAGCGTGTTACTGGACGAAGCCCCGCCTGCCACAGTACTGCACCATGTGCTCCGGCTCCTCTTCTATCACGTAAGCCTTTACATGTCACAGAGGCACTGCAGTACAAACAGCGTTTCCTGCTAGACTTTAAACGCTGCAGGAAAACTACAAAATCCTATTTTACCTCTGACTACCTCTATAAGGACCATGGTAATGCACAGGGGGAAACAAGACAGAAAGCAAAAGATTAGGTGCATACCTCTGTAATGTACATGTGCGTACATAACTGACCCTTTCAAAGCTGGAAGGATTCAATAACTTAAATGAACAAGTTCTCTATTTCATCACAAACTTGACAAAATATAGAACAAAGGCAGCTGAGGTGCCTGTGACAATACCAAGCATTAGCCATGACAACAGCAGTAACTCTTACTACAGGTCCAGGCCTAAGTGTCCAGGGAGACAGCTTGCCACTATCTAGCCATTCTCCTCCTAGACACACACTTCAGAGAAACTCAGGCATATGTGCCTAACTCAGGCATACGTATTACTTGTTAGGTTGATGCAAAAGTAATGATAAGTTTGCAATGTTGAATTTGCTCCTTAATGTTGAAATACATTCTAGACGAATTTGGCTACATTATATACTATATCAATGTGCAGTCCTGCTTTATGGGTTTCTGCTAATGATTTATTGCTTCTTGTGAAGTTTTACCTTATCCACCATATTCACCTCATCACTCAACAACATACTGCCATTTTTCAAGAATCTTTTTGTTTGTTTGTTTGTTTGTTTGTTTTATCGAGACAGGGTTTCTCTGTGTACCCTGGCTGTCCTGGAACTCACTCTGTAGACCAGGCTGACCTCGGAACCCAGAAATCCGCCTGCCTTTGCCTCCCGAGTGCTGGGATTAAAGGCGTGCGCCACCACCGCCCGGCTCAAGAATCTTGATAACGTTTTGCATGGATAAAATATCCACAATTATCAGGGCAGAGAAAATTCTTTCCAAGAGTTACTGAATTCTAAAGCACTGACATGTAATACTGTTTATTACATGTATTCATTTGGAGGAATACACAGACAAGCCAGAATGTGTTAAGAGATCAGAACACAACTTGCAGAAATCAGTTCTCAGCTTCCCTAATAGGGGAGCTAGGAATCAAACTCACATAATCACACTTAACTAACACCAAGCACATTTAGCTGCTGGACCATCTGGCCAGCCTGCAAAACACATTTTTTTTATGCTAAGAATAAAAAATTATTTCTCATTGATAAAACCAAGTTGATTATAATGGTTCTTATTCTGATTAATGAAGATATGTTTGGTCCTAGATAGAGCTCTGTTACACAGAGAAACCCTGTCTCAAAACACAACCAAACAAAAAATTTCACTATCAGTAACTGCAATTAATTTTGCACCAACCTAATACAAGAACACTCACAACACCACTGTTCAACACACCAGTTATCTATCAACAGTAGAATGGCTAGTTGTGATTCAGGAAAACAGTAGGATATTAAATACTAATAAAAATGAACAAATGTAGCTATAGCAACAACACAGATGAAACTTAAAATGAGGCTGATGTGGGCCTCATTTAAGTTTAAACCATCCTAGGCTATACAGTGAGACCCTCTGTCAAAAGGAAAAAAAAAAGAGGTTAAATAACATTTTATGATTTGAATAACATTAAGCTCAAAGAGGCCAATTCATGCTATGAGGACACACAGCTGATTCTTGAGATTCCTTAGTAGACTAGATTAGAACCCTGAAGGCCTGCTCCTAATAGCAGCTGGCAGTTCTGGTCATATTTTCATCACCTCATCAACATACAACCTTGTTTTGTGTGTCTGTTAAAGGCATCCTATGAGGTGGAAATGGTAGAGTGGTTAAGAGTGCACACTGCTCTGTAAAGAGACAAGAGCACCCACATTGGGTAGCTCACAATAACCTCTAACTCCAATTCCAGGGAATCCAGCACTCTTTGGCTTCCTTTGGCATTTGAACACACATGTAATACACATAAACTCAACCAGGCACATATACACATGCATAAATACAAGTAAATACATCTTTAAAGACTCCTTATTTGATGTCCACATCTTAAATACTAACACTGAATTCATGGTCAGCAGCCCTGTGACTTAGGTCTGACTAGGCACATCACAGTTGTCCTGTACTTGCGAATATAGAAAGCACTACCATCAGGGCTGAATGGCATTTTCAAAAAGGGAAATCACAAACAAAAAGCAGAACAATATAAAAGGGCACCAAACAGAACTAACAAGACACCTGCTTATAGAGTAAGAGCTGACGGGTCTCCAAGGTCATCCTCATCTGACACCTGAGGCAAGTCTGCACAAGGGCATGTCCATAGTGAACTACAAAAGCAGCATGGGTACTGACTGAGGTAAAAGTTAAAATTTAGAACATACACTGGCCAGCACAAAAAACAATGGATAATAAGTAATAAAATTATTACCAAAATTAATAACAAAGTCTCAGAAACAGATATCAGAATGAGTTACATCATGAAACTGAGAATAAGGCACACCCAGAAAAGGAGAGCTATATGAGACAGAGGCCTCATGGCATTTCAGAAAAGTGAAGCTACTACACAGTTCATGACTACTTATCGCCTATATAGACTATACGTTTTATATATTCTCCTGTGTGTTACACAACACAATTAAAATAGCATTATATAAAAGATATAGTCCCTACATTTTAGAAAACAATTTGCTAAGGACAGGAACGTTACTATTCTCAGCAAATCAGTATGTGTTAGTTGTAACCAAGAATGAAAAATGAATACCAAAGATGATAAATTTGAACTGTTTCTTTGGTAAAGACAACAAATATCCAGACTTACCTTAATGACTCTTGTTGCATGAATAAAATTGATAGCATACAAGTTATGTTCTTCCATTCCAGTACCAATGGTAAGGATGTTGGGGTCAAAGATGATGTCATTTGGATTGAAGCCCACTTTTTCCACAAGTAGATGGTAGGCTCTGGTGCACACATTGACTTTAACATCTGTTTCTGTTGCCTGAGAAATAAGCAGAAATGTAATTTACAAACGCAAAGTGTTATCTATGAAAATGGCATATGTCACTCATCAAAACCACTCAAATCTCAATGACTGAATTTATTCTAGAAGCAAAAATCAAACTTCTAAGTGCTCATGAACTTATCAAAGAATAGAATCAGTTAAAGACTTTACATTTTCAATATAATAATTTTATTCCTTATGTAAAAATTTTTCATTCACGTGATATATTAACAAAGTGGCTTTCTAAGGAGAGATGTGATTTAAAACCCAAATAAGTAGCTGAATATCAGACATGTAATTCTAGTACATGAGACAGTGAGGTAGAACTATGGCAGGTAGGTAACCAGAGTTATATACATGAGTGTCAGGCTGCTGTGGGCTACACTGCAGCTACACTGCAGGCTACACTGCAGGCTACACTGTGGGCTACACTGGGAAAGAGTCTTCTAAGTGTTCCACCTCTCCTGACATGCCTGCAATGTGCCGATCACTCACACAAACATCGCTGTTGCTTTCTCGGGTCTTCCTGAAAGGCAGACTCAAGGACATGCATTTATTCCCCACACCCACATGCTTGTTACCATGTGACTCAAGCTGCAACTACAAATTAGTGCTGGGCTCAGCACCCTGGAAAGCAGAGAGACAAGTGAATTTCTTGAGTTCAAGGTCAGCCTGGACTACATAATGAGAACCTGTTTCAAAACCAAACCAAAGCTAGAAAGATGGCTCAACAGTCAAGAGTACCGACTGCTCTTCCAAGGCCCAAGTTTGTTTCCCGTTACCCACAAGGATGCTCAGCACTTAAATTCCAGAAGACTGGACTCTTTCTTCTGGTCTATAGATACTGCTTGCCAATCATGTACATACGTACATGCAGGCAACATTCATACATATAAAATATAAAATAAATAAAACCTTAAAAACAAACAAAACCCTACAAACTATCGTCATCCTCCCACAAGAGGAACCCTAAAAAAGCAAACCACAGATTCCGGCAAGGCTCACCCTCCCTGCTTCTCGGCCTGCCGTACTTAAGACAGGGCCTCTACCACCACCACCACCGCTCCACCATTTGCCTTCACTCCTCTATAATGTGCCTAAAATCTGCCATGTTACTGCAATCTTTCGATCTTTTGCCGCCCTACCCAGAACATGCAAGGCCTAACTGCATTTCAGAGCTAACAAGTATGTCGTCAACTGTCCCTTCAGAATCGGCTTAACCATTTCCTCCAAATCAGCACACCTCCACCCTTCCCACCTTCTCCTTTACTTGGGGCATCTCTTTCCAGATCCTTTAGTTGGCAACTTAATATTCTTGGTTATTTTATTATCTATTATTATTCCCACTAGCTAGAATGTCAGTCTTAACGTCTACCCAGAGCCCAGAGCAGGGCCTGTTAGATTATGTGCTCAATACCATGTTAAAGGGATGAGTGAGTGAGTGAGTGAGTGAGTAAGTGCTACTTTTACTCTATTTCTCAACTTTGTCAAGGAAGGTGTCTTCAGATCAAACCCCTAAACAGCATACCCATCAAGCCACATTCTGAATTTCTGAGTACTATTAACCCAGTGTGCTCTGGGGATGGGCAGAAGAAAAAACGGTAGTCCTTTCTTACTCCCATTTTCATATTTCATGGTACTAGTTACCCACTGTCACCTGCAGTCCAAAAATGGTAAATGGAAGACCCTGAAAGTAATAGTTAAGTTTTCAATTTCATACCACTCTGAGAACTGTGAAGAAACATCTTGAACTGTCCTGCTCCATCCCACCTGGGATAGAAGTCATTTTTGTGTAACATTCACATATACATGGTCACACAATCCTTTTTTCATTTATTTATTTTGAGACGGGGTCTCATTTTGTAGTCCTGGATGACCTGAAACATCTTGTGCTATCCTAGAACTCTCAGAGATCCACCTGCCTGTGCCCCTAAAGTGCTGGGGAAAAGGGACTGCCACACATGGTGCATAGCCCTTATTTTACTCAGTGGCTCCTGAGCACAGAATTGGTGATGCTGAGAAGCGGAATACTCCAGCAAAAGCTGTAAAGCTCCCTCTGCAAGTAAAAAGGTCAGAAGTCCAGTATGGAATTCTGTGAAAAACTGACATTACAGAATAGTGTTAATTTCTTCCTGTTCTTAAGTTACAAGCATTGTGTGCATATGTAGAGAAAAGTACAGTATGGACAGGACAGGTAAGGGTACATTAGTGTGCTTACTATCATTCCGTAAGAATGCATAATAATCATGAGGGTCCATTCTCAATGTGGAAAAAGATGTTCTTAAAATATGTACTTCAGTCTTTAGGAGCCTGCATGGTGGGAGGGTCCCACTGTTAGGATGAGAACACTAAGTCTACTGAAGAACTGTTTCCAACCAGACACTTCTTCAAGTTAAGGGAGCTAGCTTCAGTAACCTCATTTGATTGGCAAATAAAGAAGGTACAATCTGGTAATTTTTATCTGAGCCAACTGGGCACAGAGTATGCAATGTATAGAGTGGGATATTGTTCTATACCAAAGAAACTGTGGACATGCTCCTAGGATAGGAATTTACTTCCAGGACTAGAACAGCTACACTACGGCCCCTCTATAACCTAGGTAGGCACTTGTCATATTGTTCTCATGGTATCTTCTACCCAAGAACAGTATCTAGATTCTGGCCACCATGTAAAAAAACTGGACCTCAGAGTGAGGTCATTTATAGAAGCCTCTGTAGGGAGCAGGTCCTGTGCTTCATTTTCGGCCCTGTGAAACACACATGCTGGTAAGCCTGTTACCCTTAGGGATTCCACAGACCCATATGAGGCTCAGCAGAATGAGATGAAGGACTCCTCAACCAGGCAGGGTTCTCAGCTCTGAGGGACTTTTGCTTGTTTGTTTCATAGTAATGGTACCTGAGACTAGCTAAATCACACTCTTGAGACTGGCTCCAGCAATTCAGGAGCCCTTGGTAATGGTAATGGTAATGGTACCGTCCAGCCAACACTGAGAAGAACTTTTTGGGAATGATTAAGAGGTGTGGCATTGTTGAGGAAGCTGTGTTCCTGGGTGAGGGCTTTCCCAGTTTGTGTGCTCTCTCACCCAGCCCTTCCCTCCCTTGTAGTTGTGGATCAGAAATAAGCTCTCAGCTACTGTTCAGAACCATGTCTGCCTGCCTGCCTGCCTGGTACCATACTCTAGGCATTCATTAGTTGGTTTTTCTTCCAAATGTATAACCAGCTGTCTGTCCCAGTAACTTAGTGAATAATTCAACCATTCCCTATTGGGAAAAAAAAAAGGAGGTTCCATATTGATGTAAAGAATCAAATTTTCAGAAATACATTATGTGTGTGTGTATAGATTTATTACAAAGATAAATATACGTACATATTTGTGTGAATACTCATATAGCTATTTCAGACCTGTTTCTTTTCTCACTACTTTCTCACCTGGTGACACAACAGTGCCAGCCCAACAGAAACCACTTACCTGTCCTTCCTCATCAAAAGCCATAACCACCACAGCAGCTCCAAATTTCTTAATCTTCCTGGCCTTCTCCAGGAAGTCCTCCTCCCCCTCCTTCAGACTGATGCTGTTCACTATGCACTTCCCTTGGCAGCACTTCAACCCAGCTTCAATCACAGCAAAATTGGAAGAGTCAATGCACAGGGGCACCTGAGGCAGAAGGACAGGAAGATCATGGGTCACAAGCCACCACGAGACCCCTTTGAGGGGTTCCAAAAATGCTCTATTTCTTCTCTAGAGAACAATAAACAAATTTAATATGTTAGAAGTAGGATTTTAAGCTTAAAGTTCCAATAATTAGAGTAAGATCAGCTCACAGGAGACTACGTGCATGGACAGACAGGGAATCCAAGAGACTTATGCCTAGTTCACACTTCCAAGTACTCCACATTAAGGCAAACACTTTCTCTAGTTTCAAGCATTCTACCCTGACTCATTTTAAGGTTCAATCTCCTGCCCTTTGGGAAGGATTTTCTGGCCAAGTTATTCAAAGTAACTCTTCTCTTTATAAAAACAAATTCCTGAGCAGAAAAAAAAAAATTATTAGAAAGGAAAATGAGATCTAATCTTCTTCTCTCCAAAACAGTAATTGCTAAAAACTAGAACAAACAACTAAGAACAGTGAGAGACCACAGTCTAATCCAGCCTCTGCTCCAAGACAGGTGAAAGGAGTGACTCCCTGCTCCAAAGAAGTAAGCCAGCAGGATAGCTGACTCAGGATTGTTATGCAGGGCAGTCAGTCAGTTCCTGACTCCCTCCTTTCTAAGGCACACAGGTCCTTAGCTTCACCACACTCACCAAGATAATGATTAAACAAGTAATAAGAGGGCAGGAAAGGCTAGAATACAGCACAGCAAAAAGAACAAGGAGGCAAGGGGTGGGTCTGTCTCAGCAACAGAGTGCCTGACACCTGTGAGGCCCTGGTCTTGTTTCCCAATACCATAAACACGAAGTATTAAATTGTCTTAAAAGGGGAGTGGGGTGTGGTTAGGGAAGTAGCACGACTGGTGGAGTTCTTGCAGAGGTCCTCAGTTCATAAACTGGTGGCACAAACCTATAGTCCTAGCAATAGAAGATGGAGGTGGGAGAATATGAGGTTCAAGGCTATCCTATAGTCCTAGCAATAGAAGATGGAGGTGGGAGAATATGAGGTTCAAGGCTATCCTCACCTACATACTGATTTCCAGGCCAGAATATAAGACACAATTAAAAACAAAACAAAACAAACAAACAAAAAAAAACCAACCTCAATTTTTCTTTTCCTTAGGACACTAGCAATAAAGAGCTTTACTGGAAAACGGTCAAATGCAATGGCAGTAATTACCAGGCCAGTGTCTGGAAGAGCTTGCAAATAGTCTGGGGTTTTAAGCCTACTGCTGAAGATGTACTACTCATACTTTGGGTTTTTAGAGGCAGGGTCTTACGGTCTTACTGTGTAACACACGCTGGTCTCCAACTGTGATCTTCCTTAGCAGCACATTTTTATATTCTATCCTAATGGCTGAAATTTGGCCCCCAGCAAATTTAATAGTAGATAAAAACCAGAAAAGAAAGGTCAGTGGTTGCAGCAATCAGAGCACTAACGAGCTCTTGCAGGGCATAAGGTCCTCTCCATGGTTAACAAGAGACCCACCATTGCAATCCATGAATTGAGTGCTGTGGGTCTGATCATCTCACTTTAGAGATGAGGAAGGGAGCCAGCACTGAAAGCTCATCAGTGTGCTTGGCTCTAAAGAGAAGCAGGCTTCTCTTAAGCTCTTGCTAGGCCTAATTTTTTTTTTTTTAAATGACACCTAAACCTAAAGATATGAAACTCTGGAAACAGTTTCTTTAAAACAAAAAGCAAACAAAAACCCTTAAAAGTCCCTCAGGGTGCATGCAGCAGAAACTCAAAGTCAACCTTGGCTACATAATGAGTTTGAAGGCAGCCATGGGTACCCATGGGACACCCATCTTAAAAACCAAAACCAAAACCAAACCAACATACACACACACACACACACACACACACACACACACACACACACACACACACAGACCATGGTGAGCTAGTAGTAGGCATTACAAATCAAGTCTCATAACCTGAGTTGAGAACCAGAACATATAGAACTTCATTTAATGACTCAAAAATGAAATGAGGATTAGTTTGAACCCTCTAAAACATTCTAAAAGACAGATACAGAAAGACTTTCACCTTTTTTTAACATTTATTTTTTTATGGGAGAGGCAGAGAGGAAGAGGCAGATATTTGTGAGTTCAAGTTCAGTCAGGGCTACACAGTAAGGTCCTGTCTCAAAACAAACAAACAAACTTTTGTGCATAACTGTGCATGTCTGTGTCTGTCTGGGAGTCTATATACACAAATGAAGGTGCCTGAAGGGGGCAGAGAAGTTGGATCCCCTTGGAGCGGGTGTTAATAGGCAATTGTGAGCTTGCAGAAGTAAGCACAGGGAACTAAACTCAGGTCCTCCAAAGGAACAGCACATGCTGTTAACAACTGAGCTATCTCTCCAACCCCTAACTTTCAGCTTTTAAAGAACAAGTATAAACAAAGACATTAAACCTTGACTGGACCATTATATGTTACTGTCTTAGTCTGATATGCTTAACAAGGTCTCTTCTTGCAGTAGGGAAGCCCTAACTGAGCTCCATTTTCCATGGTGGGAATAGAATCAGTGTGGCAGCAATAGCTAAGTGCATCCCTCTGCAGCTCTCAAAGACTACAGACAACGGACAAAACTCAGTCTCTTGAAGACGACTTCTCCCGGATGCCTGTCAACAGCCAAGCTGAAGCCCTAACACTCTCCAAAATCTGTTCCAGGTGGACAGATTGCTTAGTTAAGAAAGCTCACATGATAAATAACAGCACTGTATAGGAAAAGAGGACCAGTTCCTGAGTGGATGGACAGACAAGGCGAAATGAACGCCAGCAAGCCAGGTAAACACTCTTAATGACTGTAGTCCTTGTACAACCTTGGCAATGTCAGGCTCAGAAGCAATGAAGTTGCAGAACTTGGTCATTGCACTGGGACCATCCAGCATGCCATCATCCATGTTGATATCCAGCACCTGAGCTCCCATTTCCACCTGCACTTTGGCAATGCTCAGGGCTTCCTGGAGGAGGAATGGGAGAAGCATGGTTAGGAGATGTCTAGGCCGAGTAATTCCTCCCATCCTCAGAGGTCCTTTGTTACTGAAACAGACACACTGGCTCCGAGTGGGCCTGTCCCTTTCTGCCCAACACCCAACATTGACTAGTAACCCTTTCCACATACATCATCTCACTGCTTGGAGGCCACCAAGGCAGCTTCCATCCATGAGGCAACTAACACCTGCACTAAAAGACAGCTCTAAGGGATGCCAAGAAACAGCAATTAGCAATTCTAACTAATCCTAACACTTGGGAGGCAGAGGCAGGCAGATAGAGTTCAAGGCCAGCCTGATCTACATAGTGAGTTCCACCAGGACAGCCAGAAGTACTTAAAACCCTGTGTTTGGCAGAGGTGGGAAGGAGTGCAAAATCCATAGATGGTTCAAAGACTAAGGGCATTTTATGCACAACCATGAGGATCTGAGGTTGTATCTCAGGACACATGTAACAAGCCAGGCTTCCCACAGAATGCCTCTAACTCCAGCTCTAAGAATGCCCTTTTTCTCTGCATGCACACACATGTGCATAAATTCACAATAAACACACAAAATAAGTATTTTTTTTAAAAAAACAAAATCTAGTCAAATCTTGAAATTTAAAAAACATCATTAAAACTCAAAAGACAGAGAGATGATTCTGGTAAAGGTATCTGATGCCAAACCTGACTACCTGAGTTTGATCCCCAAAGCATAAATGTGGAAAAAGAGAATCAACACTTGCAAGTTGTCCTTTGACTTCCACATGCAAGTAGTGGCTTCCATATGAATGTTCAAATACAAATACATACACACACAGTAAGTTAATTAAAAGAAAAATCTTGAGACAGGGTCTCACTATGTAGACCAGGCTAGCCTGAACTCAGAGAAATCTACCTGCCTATGCCTTTCAAGTGTTGGGATTAAAGGCATGTATCACTATGCCCCAGATTAAAAAAAAAAAAGTCACAGTAAAACAAAACAAACAAAAAACAACCTAAAACCTTGACCATTTTCCTCCTTTTTTTTTTTTTTTTGGTTTTTCAAGACAGGGTTTCTCTGTGTAGCACTGGCTGTCCTGGAACTCTGTAGACCAGGCTGGCCTCGAACTCAGAAATCCGCCTGCCTCTGCCTCCCAAGTGCTGGGATTAAAGGCGTGCGCCACCACCACCCGGCTTTTCCTCCATTTTTAATTTCATATTTGTAGAAAAGTAAAGTCTACCCAGATGTCTTGGGCACACACTGTGAGGATTAAATTTGACTCATCTTCAGTATTACAAAGCTTAAAAATTCAGAATTCTCATGGAAAGGGCCTGTTCATTTTCTTTTGACCTACAGCTAATAGGATCATCAATACCTTCATCAGTAAGCATCTGATGTGGTCAGATGAGTAAAAATTCTCCTTGGGAGGAGCAGGGACGACTCAGCAGTTAAAAATACTTCTTGTAGAAGACCCAGGTTCAGTCCCTCAGAACAACATGGCACTTCAAAACCATCTGTAACTCCATCTCCTGGGGATCCAATGTCCTCTTCTGGTCTCGTGGGCACCAGGCACATTCATGGTGCACATACATTCACATAAGCAAAATGCTTATATACATAATTTTTAAAAAGCCAAGGCGCTTACAGTTTCAGAGAGACCAAAATGGGAAGTATTCCCGAATATCCAAACTTCCTTAACAATGAAAGACTAGAAGCTGGATCCCTCCGAGTCATCCCCCTGCATGACCCAAAGGTAATGCTTTTTGGGCAGTACCAAGAGCAGCAGCCTCACGTCCTTCTAGCAGCCCTGCAGTAGCACCAGCCAGAACACAACACTTTGCTGACACACAGTCTACCTAGAGGCGTGGCAATGCCCTGGGGACCTCATGGGGATGCTCACTTCATAGTTTCCTGCCATGATGAGTTTAGCAAACTTCCTGGATCCTGCCACATTACATCGCTCTCCAATGTTAACAAAGTTGGTGTATGGTCCAATCCTGAAGGGTTCTAGACCTTAAAAGGAAACACATTTTGAAAGATTCTTGAAAATGCACATAGATGACATGAAACAAAATATTTTCAGCAAAAAATGTCCACCTGAACAGATGGGACAGTAGATCTAATAGGGAAACAGGATCACAATATTTCCTTTTCTGGACACTAAAAGGGCTACTTGTTACAACTGTGCTTACAACCAGATCTCCAAGGGAAAAAACACTTTCAGAGCTCTGTGCTAAAGTACCCATAGTGGGCTAGTGAACCATACAACCTCTGAAAACGAAGAAAAAGTCGTCATCGCCCTTATATAACTAAGGGCCTAGGACAAAAGCCACGAAGAAACTGCCAATCAGCCGGGCAGTGGTGGCGCATGCCTTTAATCCCAGCACTTGGGAGGCAGAGGCAGGCGGATTTCTGAGTTCGAGGCCAGCCTGGTCTACAGAGGGAGTTCCAGGACAGCCAGGGCTACACAGAGAAACCCTGTCTCGAAAAACCAAAAAAAAAAAAAGAAACTGCCAATCAAAAGAGGTCAAGCTTGAGCAGGTCTAGTCATGCTGTCCCAACTGCTGTGAGTTCATATGTGCAACTACTCTGTGATGTCTAGAAACCCTGCCTGATGCTACCCACAACCTCTGAAAGCTATGGGTTTTCTGTCCCACTCTCCTCTGAAAATCCCTAAGCCTTGGGAAGGAGGGGGCTGTCATGTCTCATTTGTGGCTAGATGGGGGTGAGGGGGACACAAAAATCCTACCATGAGCTGAGAAGCTATTGGCATCTGACAGCTGCTGGGATACAGGGAAACAGAGAGGTATAGGAGAGGGAAATACAGTGTGTTACTTTTCTTTTCAAAACTAGTTGGGTGACACCAACTGAACTTGGGAGCTTGTAGAAATTTGAGGCCAGCATATATTACTCTGCAAAATTCTACCTCAAAAAAAAAAATCTTTTTTCCTTTCTTGCGCTATTGATGCTCTGTCAGAAATCAGCTAACAGTTGAATGGACCAAATCTCTTCACCCCATCAACAGTGTATGTGGAAGTTTACTTAATCTCTTTCACTGAGAGACCATGAACCTGAAACTGGATGAGGGAGGACCTGGATGGAGATCCAGGAGTCACTGTGGCAGTCACTGTGGGGAAGCCACTGGGCTTCTGGCATATTATTACTTTATTTGCTAAGGAGTAAAAGCATCTTCCTTGGCACAGGCTAATTCATAGATAAGTACCAGATAATACAAGCAGATGCATTACACTCAGATAAAAAAAGCAACATAAAGACCATGAAGTGTCACAGAAAAGGTTCTCATACTGCCTTTATTTTAAAAGTTTTTTAAGAAATAGTCTCCCTGAATAGCCATGGGCAATCTCTGGAGACATATGGCCTTATATGTATAGGATCACTTATATGGTTCTACAAACCTGAGACAACTGCTCACACAACTTTTCAGCTTACAATTCGGCCAAGTGTCTCTGCCTTAATTATCATAAAAATGAAGCACAAAATTAGCATCATCTATCAGAGCTAAAAAAAGAAAATGGCCTTGAGTCCTTTGCCAAAGCATTATATAAAGAAACCAGTATGAGCAAGAGGAAGATTATGAATATGGACTGGGTAATTATACAGATATTCCAGGCCATTTGTTCACAGATTCAGGAAGCAATCACTTTCTACAATTTCAGCTGCTGCCTTTTCTCAGTGCTAATGAGCCTTGTGCACCTGACCGTTCATAGAATCTTAACGTTTGTCTACCAGGCAAACAGAGATGACCACCACTAAATGCTGAGGGTACTTGTGTGATCTGAGGGCATCCTCCAAAGTGCTTCTGATCCAGCAGGAGCGACATGTCAAATAAAGAAGCAGAACTTTCCTTGTTTACCATTTCTACTAAGGTTAATAAAAGTATCCTTCAGCTTGGACATAGTGGTACATATCTGTAATCTTAGCATTCAAGACCCCTGGCTATACAGTGAGAGTGTCTTAATATACCACCATTTCAGGAAAAAAATAAAAACAGCCAGGGCATGGTGATACACGCCTTTAATCTCAACACTAAGGAGGCAGAGGCAGGTGGACCTCTGGGAGTTTGAGGCCATTTTTACCCGGAAATTAATTTTTCCACCCCATACTTAGAAAAAACAAAAAGAGTTCTTTAGTAAAATTTACCTAAGTGTCAAGAAAACTAAGCACTCTTTGACCTAATAAGCTTCCTAGCATAAACATCACTATCCACTTAGAAGAAGCACATTAAATACATCTGAACAACTATATCCTCATGACTTACCAGATAGTAACATATGTCCTTCAAAAACACTAGCAGGGGGAACTCTTGGCTTACAATTTTTCACAGCTTCTGCAATTTCCCTAAATTAAAAGAGAAAGCGCTATATTCATTAATTCAGAGTAGCATAAATTTAATCAAGCTAATTTCCAGCTATAAAATCAACTCTGCATCACTATGTCCATGCACACAATGATCTGCCTACTTAAATGTCCAGGAGCAGTTACATCCACCAGCTTTCTCGGCAATAGAAAGCTCATCATTGCTGACTGTGCTGCCTGTGCCATCAGAAGCATGAGCCTGGAGCGCTAAGAGGTCTGCACAAATACCAACTGCAAACCTCTTCTTCTCCCTTCCTCCAGCCCACAGATAGTCTTTACAAATCCACACACAGAACATGTTGTTGCTACCTAACCGACAGTTCAACAACTTCAAAAAGAAGTCTGTAGCTCTGAGAAATAACAGAAGGGGTTAGGGGGAGAACAGGGGCCTATGTACTTGTTTTAGCTACAGCAGGCACACAGAAGGAAAGGTACAGATAAATACAATTGCTCCTCTCTTCAAAATCTGTTTCAGTTATTCACAGTCTCTTCAACATTGTCAACTTTAATGAATCCTGTGTTTGATAAGCCATAAAAAAATCTAGCTTCTATTTATTAGGAACTGTAGCTACTGCTCACGCTACTGTCCCCAAATTAGTATGTGGATGAGTAAGTAAACGCAGGAGTTAAATAGACAGGTATAGATATTAACATACAAATACACAAACTACAACGTCTCACTTTAAAGAGGAAGTGATCTAAAAAACAAAGTGTTAATCTGTGATCCAAAGATAAGATACTTCAACTGTAACATAAGAGATGTAACCTAGAGATGTTATAGGTGTGGCTCCATCTCTCCCTTGTCCACGAACGCCCTTTTCCTCCCTCACCGCTCACCAACTGTAGTAGGCAGACCTGGTTCTTTGGGGGGGGGGGGTGTTCATGATAGCAGGACAGCTGTCCCTGTCCCTCACCTGCTGCACTACCTCACCTGGGCAGCACCACAGAGCTGGCCCTGGATATGAGGGTTGCAGGGGAGCCAGCCCTGAGGGCATGAGCACAGGAGAGCTGGCCCTGTCTCCTGTTTGCTAGGAGATGGCATGGACTAGTGAGAGATGCCCTCCTCCCCCTCCCTCATCCCTTGCCATCTACGGCAGGCGGGAGAGCTGGCCCCTGTTCATGAAAGTGGGAGAACTGGCCATGTCCCTCACTGGCTGCAACACTCAGGAGAGCGAGCCCTGCACTTCACCTGGGCAGAAGGTAGAGCTGACCCAGGTTGCAGGGGGTGGAGGGTAGGATTGCTTGTAGGGGTCCCCGAGGGCATAAGGCCTGGAGAGCAGGCTGACCAGTTCAGATACCTATCAGGCCCAGATCCAGGGCTTTGAATTAGCCCACCCCAACATCTACCCCATTGATGAACTGCTTGAGTGCATGAAGGGGCTGGTCCTGCAGAGCCAAAACTACAGAATCTCCATGACACAGGACAACAGGATATCTGGTCCCAATGAGGATCCAGTATTAATAGCATAGCCAGAGGCCTCATACCAGACAAATGAGTCACTGCAATGAACATTTATAAGCAGAGAAAGTCAGACAAAAGAGTATACTATGGGACATACTGTGACACACTACAGTTCCACATGGAGGTTGCAGGGGTGGAGGACAGGTACGAGGGGAGGGGAGGGGAGGGGGGGGGAGGGGAGGGGATAGGAATTTGAGTGGGATTGGGATGCAGGACGTGAAATTCACAAAGAAGCAATAACAAGTTGTTTTAAAAAGATGTATAAAAGATGTATAGAGATGTAGTCGTGGTGTGTTAAGAGTAGAAGATGAGTATATACAAAACCTCTGGATTCAATTAACAGCACCAAAAAGACAAATATGTAGTCATTTATAGTTATTAAGAATCTTAGAAGCCTGGTATGTGGAGGCACTCACCTTTAACGTCAGCACTCAGAAGGCAGAGGCTGAGTCAAGAGGACTTAGGAGGCTAGCCTGGGCTATACTCGCTGAGGACCAGACCACTCTGAGCTACATAGCAAAGCCTGCCTCAGTGGCACACAAGGGGAGGAGTACAAAGTAAATATCATCAAAATTATGTACATGTAAAACTCTCCAAAAATTAATAAAAATATCACTAAAAATAATCAATAAAACCAAACAAATTTTATAGGAAAAAAAAAAGGTAACCATTACCTGATGTGATCAGGTGTTGACCCACAGCATCCACCAACTATGTTTACCAAGCCATCCACAGCAAACTCCTGTTCTTAGGAAAAGCAAGTCACTTGAATTCTAAACTTACCAAAACAAATTCAACACAAGAGCATGTACTTTCTACACTTACTGAATAACTAAGGTTATATTAAAGAAAGATAAACATATTTACTTCAGATACAAAAAAATGTCATAAGCCCTACGTGAAAGATACACAAGAGAAATTGTTCAGATACTAGGAAACCTTTCATACATCTGAAACACAGTAGAAATTTATCTTCCTGTATAAAGAAATGAAACACATTTTTACACATATGCTGGTCAGAATGAATGTGAAATGGACAATGCATTTTCAAATAACATGAGTATCAGTTTTTCAATTTAATTTTAATTTTTTTAAGATAAAAAGTGGCGGGGGCTAGAGAGATGGCTCAGTGGTTAAGAGCACTGACTGCTCTTCCAGAGGTCCTGAGTTCAAATCCCAGCAACCACATGGTGGCTCACAACCATCTGTAATGAGATTTGATCCCCTCTTCTGGTGTGTCTGAAGACAGCTACAGTGTACTCATAAATAAAATAAATAAATCTTTAAAAAAAAAAAAAAGATAAAAAGTGGCCAGGTGGTGGTTGCATACACCTTTAATCCCAGCACACAGGTGGTTCAAAGCCAGCCTGGTCATACAGCAAGTTCTAGGAAACCCAGGGCTACACAGAGAAACCATATCTCAAAACCCAAAAAACATTTTTTAAAAAAGAAAGAAAGAAAAAGAAAGTCCTCTGTCACATTAGCAACGTTTTAAGTGTTCCATCAAACACATGGGGTGAGGCACCGCATTGATCAGCAGGATCTGGAGTAACCAGGGGCTAATGAAGGAGCTAAGAAAGCAGAGTGCCAAGATTTCCTACTTAAGATAACTGAGATTATTATCTCAATACTCAGGAGTCTGAGGCAAAAGAATCATGAGCCCAAACACAGTCTGCAGAAAAACCCCTCTCAATAGAAACAAACAAAAAATGAATCCTGAAATCCTAAGAACTGACTCGGAAACAGTCTAGGAGAAAACATCAGAGCCAGGAGCTAAAAACTCAAAAATGAAGGAAAACAGAGCCAGCATAAAGACACGAATGCACTAAGCAACAGCAGTGCGTAACACGGTCTCATGAGTCAAAAACGGCAAGTACATCCAAGAGGAGGATCTGCAGGCAACAACAGGGACCCACATGGACATTTAGACCACGCAGCAGTTTGAAGTGAATGAGAGAGGAAGTCATTATTTGGTAGGGTTGCAGAAGTGACAGAGGGGAGTCTCATCGCATTTAGTTTGGAGAAGAATTTCTCAACAACTGCCACTGCCAGTCAGTAAGTAAGCAGACACCTAAGCCCTCCTTTATGCTTCTACCACCTTAAGACAGAGTACCTAAACTTTACTTGTTATTTATATATTAGATTTCGAGGGAAAATTTAGATTTCATCTTCCATCAGGCATGGTGGCACATGCCTGCATAGTCCCAACTATTCCAGAGGCTAAGGCATAAGAATAGTAAATTTAAGAGCAGCTTAGGCAAGACAAGCCGGTTTGCAAAGTTAATTAATTAGTTTATTAATTCAAATAACACAGTAACTATCTGTCTCTTCAAAACTGGAATGAAAGGATTCCTGACCTTCAGGTGCATGGCCATCATGGATGGTGTTTCATCATAGTCGCCAAAAGTATTTGGAAGACCTGAGAAAGAACATCAACCATTATTCAAAACCCCCTTAACAAGTGCTTTAAATTTTATAGTAAAATGATAATTGCTTGCAAAAGTAAATAACACAGTATTTATATATCAGAAATAGTATAGCAAAATAAAATCTGGAGGACATTTACTTTGCTTCTGCATATTAAACAAAAATTTAGTCCCATATGGCACAGAAGCCCCAGTCTCCACCTCCAAGCTCTTACAAGGCAATTCATTCTTTTTATAAAACTGTGTGTGTGGAAAACACCCTGTATACACTCTCATAGCCTTTGAACTAATGAACATTTGACATTCAATGCAACTAAAAACAAGTCTTCTTTCAAATTAGCCAAGTATTTCAAAGGTGTTTAAGGCATAAAAGGTTTCATAGTACCTGAACTATCTCCCATGTATAACTTTTACCTATTCCTTGTGACATTTTTGTATCTAAAATAAATGTTTCTCTCTTTAGTATAAACCTATACATTATCCTCTGACTATGTAGTTTCCTGTTGGATTCATGTCCTGCCCCTAATTACTAAAGGAAAATAAAATATATTATGCATTTTTAAGGTTTATTTATTTATTGTGTATGACCCACAGGGGCCAGAAGAGGGTGATGAACTCCCTAGAACTTGAGTTTAGACGGTTGTGAGCCAACTTGTGGGTGCTGGGTATTGAGCCCAGGTCCTCTTCGAGAACAAGTGCTTTTAATCACCGAACATCTCTCAGACCCTTACTATGAATTTTTAAATGTATTCATTTGATGCTAGTGAGATGTCTCAGCAAGTAAAAGCATTTGTTGCACAGCTTGATGACCTGAGTTCAAGCCTCAAAAACCACGATAGAAGAGGAACCAGTTCCCAGAAGTTATCCTCTGACCTCCATATGCACTCCATGACACACATGCAATTGCAGGCACACATACTGATCATATACACAGATACTAATAAAATCGTTTAATTTTTTTAATGTATACATATGGATAAAAAATACAGAAAATTATTTTTAGTTCTAAATAGCTGAATGGTACTAAAACATTCCCTGGGAAATCCAGTAAGCCCAGACCAAATTATCAATATTTACTGGATAGTTTGAGATCTACAAAGATCTGTGAAATTTTTATGTGCCATTAACTAAAAATCTTAGCCTTTAGAACCTAACAACACATAATACTACCCACAGCTTTTCTGCTAATAAAATGAAACAGGAAAGAGGATCCTTCTTATTTTGGCTTCTCTGACTACATTCACATGGCAAAACTCTTGTTAGTGATATAACTAGATGAATTCCCTGAAGTTACACCCTATTTTGAAACTTCAAGTTGTGCAAAACTGTTCTTTCAGGTTTAAGTAGACCGATATACACCCAAATACTTTTTTTTCCTCCCAAAATTCATGTTGAGTCTCAAACACACACACTTGAGCAACCCCGCCTCTCTTTCCCTTCTTCTCCCCCACCCCCTTTATGCATGTACACAGACATGCACACATACCCCTACAACACAAATTCTTCAAATCAACTCTGTCACCCCATGCCTTGACTATAGAGTTCTACATGTACAGCTCCAACCTTAAACACACCTGCATTTGGGTAACAGAGGACATAGGCTGTCGTACATTTTCCAATTGTTTCAATGAAAGGCCTCATTTCAGCTGCACCTAGAGCACAATTTAATCCAATGCTGGAAAAACAAGCAGATATCAGAGTCGTCATCATTTCATTCAAAATATTTATGCATAAAAGTTATAATGGCGTATATGTGTCACCACATTTTTGGAAAAATCCATATAATGTACAAAAGTAAGCTCTAATGTAGATTAGTATTAAGTTAATAATGTATTAATATTGAATGACACCAAGGCAAGATGTTAACAGGGAAAATTGGTTAAAGTAGAGGCAAGGAGTATAGCATACAGAAATATAGAAAACTGTGCTTTACATATTTTTTTTCTTTTAAATAAACCTGTACCTGATGTAAAGCAAACATGATTCTCTGATCACCAACTTTCAACCAGTCCTAACATTTCCCTTAAGAATGCTAAGTCCAAGTCCAGGCTTGATGGTAAACGTCTGTAATATCAGCACTTAGGAGGCTGAGGCAGGAAGCCTACTTAGTGCCATTGCAAGTTTGAAACCAATCTGAGGATCCATGAGATGCTGAGAAGATCCAATGCCTGGTCAACCTACACCTGAACAACCCACTCTTTCCGACTACCTATTTTACTAGTGCATTTGTAACTTTCATCTGAGGCTGCTGTGGTGGTGTAAGTGGGAATGGCCCCAAAAGGCTCGCAGGTTTCAGGTGGTGAAAACTGTTTGGAAAGGAGTAAATGTGGCTTTGTTGGAAGAGGTGTATCACTAGGGGACAGGCGTTAAGGTTTCTTAAGACTTGCATCATTCCCTGCTTAGTGGTTATGTCTCAAAATGTGAGCTATCAGCTACTTCTTCAGGGCCATGCCTGCCTGCTGCCATGTTCCCTACCATGACAGTCATGTACTCCAATCCTCTGAAACTGTCAGCCCTAAATGAATGACTTTCTTTTGTAATTTGCCTTGGTCATGATGTTTTAACACAGCAACAAAAAAGTAATTAAGATTGCTGTCACCTAGATTCAGTATCATATAAAAAAATTAATATTGTAAATCATTGTGTTTCCACTAGTAAGGATATTTGAATGTTTTCCAAACTTAGTTCCAATGCTCTTTATCTTTTCCATATTTGACATTACCCAGCCAAGCAGTCTTCAAAACAGCAAGTAACACTGTTCTTAAGGGTTCTGCATATGGGCATTCTTCATCAACTATACAATTTTCATACTGACCTTAGGTCACTCTGACACATGTCTCCCTGCTTAGCAAACTCAGGCTTGAGTCTTCCAACACAGTTCAGATGTTACCATCTCTAAAGAGTCATCTCTGAGTCATACACGGACTCACTACTGCATATAGCCAGATTTCTTTCAGTGTTTTGTACAGTACCATGCAATTTACCATTTGTATTTAGAAAGAGGGAATATGAGGGAAGCATGCATATCTGGGAGTCAGAGGATAACTTGCAGGAGTGGGTTCTCTCCCTCTACCACGTAGGTCCTTATGATCAAATCAGGTCACCAAGCCTAGCAGCAAGCACCTTTACCTACTGAACCATGTTTTACATTCTTATTTAGTGAAGTGTTTCTCCTTAATGTGGATTATTTCACTTACCCAGTATTCAAGGACACATAGCAGGATTTCAATAAATGACAAATTAATAATGACCTAGGATTCTAATGTTCTTTGTTAACAAAGAGTCTGTGATAATACTCAATCATTAAACAACAGTCTCTCATATGTTAGCCCTTATCGAATATGACTGTTAGCTTCTATATAACCTTCCACTCTTAAAAAATAGAAACCTGACTTTTAACAGTTCCTTTTTTTACTCTAGGATGCTTCTGGTTTCCCACAAATAGAGAGGATATTGCATTAACACTTGCAGGCACTGTTCTGAAAATATAAACTGTTAATAACCTAAAGCACTGCCCAGTCAAGCATGGTCTTGAACTATAAGCACCTTCAGGCTCACAGGCAAACATTTTACTTCCCAAAAGGTATGAGAGCGGCCCTCCTTATGTTAACATTCCAGTGGCTTGAAGCCCTTAGAGTCAAGTCTGAAAGACTGGAGGAAATCCAGTCTCCATGGAAATAGCACAGAAGCAAGGTCCCTCTGGGGACACATTATGTATGTAACCTGTGGAAAAGTGCCCAAAAGAAGGAGTCACTCACCAGAGAGGGTCTGAATGAGACACGCTGGTGACAAAAGCCTCTCCTGTCTGGCCAGAAAGAGTCCGTCCACTTTTATCAACAATGGTCCCAGAAATCTGAATTAACAGTAAAAACAAATCAACAATATAGACTCTGGTAACAAATATGGTCACAAAGACAAAGTGTAACAAACAAGTGCAAGTCCTTTGTTCTCTCATGAGGATGAGAACTGTGGAACTCAAACTCAATAGCACAGTGTGCTGTCTAAGTGTCAGAAGGGATCTATGCCAAGTGACTGGGGAAGGACGCAGAAAGGCAGAGCCAGAGGCAAGAAAACCACAAGCAGCCTCAGAAGGCACGTGGCCAAGTCCATCCCTCTTTAAGCCCTAACCACGCGAATCCCTAAGCCTTCTGCCTCTTTCTGACAGCCTGTTCTTCATCAACCACTTCTCAGCTCATTTCCCTTCTCTCCAGAAAGAAGATGGCAATTGACAGGAGGAAGGTGAACAGAAGGGTCGTTTCTAAAAGATAACATTCCAGGGAAAAGGAAAAAAAAACAATAAAAAACCTTAATGGTAAAGGATTTTCTTTTTAAAGAGAGCAAGGGGTTATCATGCACATTTAAGAACTTACAAAGATAGGCCGGGGAGGAGCATAATTCTCTTCAAAGAGTTTCTGGAGCGCAAACAAGGCTGCCTATTAAGGAAAAAAAAAGAATATCTTTATTTCTTTATTTCTGAAAGAGATCCAAGGTTAATCTAACTGCCTGATCATAATAATCCTTCCCCAAGACCACTTTAGGTAGGATACACTCAAATCTGAGGAGAGGAAGTCTTCCCTAAATGTATAACCATAACAGCCCTTCTCGGGTGTACCACTGCACACGTTAACAAATGCTCAGTTGAGGAAATAGCTCAGTATTGGAGCACTTGCCTAGCATGATTGGACAAGGGCCTAGGTTCAATTTCCAACCCTATTCAAAAAAAAAAAAAATCTGAGTTCACCTAACGAGCTAATTATTTACTTTGAAGAACTAAAGAGTTAACTTTTCTTTCCTCCTTCAATCAAAATAAACATATATAAATAAAAATCCTCTGCCTATTCTGTCAGCCTTTCATATACATCAAAGGTAGGTATAGGAACCAAAATTGTGCATCACTAGAAAAATCACGGTGGTGAACCTGGGTTGTAAAAATCACTTCACTCTTAAAAGAGCATGCTTTAAGTTCCAAGCAATGATCTTCTATTTCTTCTTCCTTTTATCATTAGAGTCACTGATTTGAAGATGAACACCTCTGAAACTGGAATGCAACTTGTCATTAATATGAACTCTCTGGGTGATAGAGGGTTTTTCTTTGTCATGGAAATGACTTAAGTGGACAATATTGAATGCTGGATGTGGTGACACACACCTGTAACTCCAATACGTGAGAGGCTGAAGTAGAAGGGCGTCAATTTTGAGGCCAGCCTATAAGACCAGTTCTAGGTCCTATGTCACAAAATAACAAAACTGAAATTCCTATTTTATAACTAAAAAAGTGATCCTTAAATCTTTTTTGTTGTTGTTGCTGTTGGTTGACTGGTTGACTGGTTGGTTGTTGGTTATGGTTTTCTTTGTTTTTCAAGATGGGGTTTCACTATGTAGCCTCAGACCAGGATAGTCTCAAATTCCGAGATTCACCTGCCTCTGCCTCCCAAGTGAGCTGGGCCCTCCCACATCAACCAGTCTTCCTTACAGGCCAATCTAAAAGAAGCATTTTCTCAACTGGAACTCAAGTTTCCTATTGCCAAACAATCCTGGCTTGTATCAAGTTGACAAAACTAACCAGGACAGGTCTTCTTATGCATGTTCATTTCACTGAGAAATAATAAACTATTTAGGGCTGGATACCCACATCCTTTCTGACCTGTGTGGGTACCAGGGATGCATGCATGCAAGCAAAAATACCTAAACATATAAAATGAAAAAGATTAAAGAAATGTTCTCTGTACTTCATACTCCAAAATAAATTCCAAATATACCATTTGGGAAACTTCTAGTATAAAAAGCCTACAAGATGACTCATGGAGTAAAGATGCCTGCTGCCAAGCCTGATAACCTAAGTTTGGTCAAGGGACCACGCGGTAGAAACAGAGGCCTGATTCCCCAAGTTGTCCACTGACACTGTCCACTGTTTCAGATGCACTGTGGCACTTACATACCCACACACATACACACATGTATACAAAATAAAGCGGTAAAAAGCTTTCTGGAGAGATCCAGAACAATGAGAAATCTTAAAGGAAGTAGGTAGCATCCTTCAAAGATTTAAGGATTCCTGAGGCTGACACCAAGCTTATCTTCCATCTTCCACATGCCCCCTTATACATGCATACATACATGCATATGTACATATATAAACTTGCACACACAATTGCATAAAAAATGTAGGCCACACATTTTAAAACTTTAAAATTCAGTATTTTTTCACCAAATTAAAAAAAAAAATCTATTCTTGCTTAGCCACCCACGTTTCCAATAAAAACAATACTGTGAGTCTTTTCAGTTGTGTCTCTGCTAGCTCGGTGGTTAAGAACACAGACAGCTCTTCCAGAGGACCTATATCAGGCAGCTCAAAACCACCCGTAACTCCAGCTATAGGTGGAATCAGATGCTTCTGGACTCTAGGCATCTGTACTTATGGACATACACACATACTCATAAATTTTTAAAATGCAATAGGAAAAAAGAGCAGAGGACATAAATCACAGAAAAGGAAATATGGTTTCTAGACTCAGGTGTGGTGGTGTCAATCAGAGATAGACAAAAATAGAGCAAACACAAGAAATTCATTTAACTTCAGTAACGGCTATTATTATCTTCTAACTGTAGAAGATTCTTTACCCCATCATCCCTCTCCATTTTTCCCCTTAACTTACTTTGGCATTGGCTGTATCAAAAATTGTTTCAATGAGTAAGATATCAACCCCACCATCCAGCAATCCCTTGGCCTGCTCCTGGTATGCTTCAACAAGCTCATCAAATGCTGCAAAAAACAAACCCCAGCCAGAACGTCAGAAACCCGTACCTTTTGAATGACACCAGCGGAGCTCAAGTCTGGCACTTGTGAACTAACAAGGGTTTAAAATGCAGCTGTTTGAGGATAGCCCTCTATAAACCAAACACAGTGGAAGGAGGTAAGTAGCAAGCTTGCTCCTAAATTGCTGCTGCCTGTCCTGCGCGCTCAGGGTGAGTTGGAAGCAGTGACTTGTTGAACTTTATCCTCCACATCTTTAAAACAAACACATCACTCTTCCCATACAGCATCTTATCCATTAAAAGATAAACCGAAGAAACAGGCTTTAAGGGCTGGAGAGGTGGCTCAGTGGTTAAGAGTACTTGTTGCTCTTTGACAGGACCAGAGTTCTAGTCCCAGCACCCATATCAGACAGCTTACAACTGCTATAACTCAAGTCTCAGGTTATTCAATGTTGCATCTGAATTTGCATGCAGACACACCCCAAATAAAAATAAAATAAAGTAAGTGATATTTGCTACATCCCAGGTAAATCTCTAGCAAAAGTTATGAGCCCATGGATTCCACCATCCCTCATCTCAGAGAAGAGGCCTCTCTGGAAGACAAGTTTTGACTCAACCAATAATGTTCATTAACGACTAGGTAAACTTTGTTTTAAATGCTCTGTGGTGTCTGTTTCTGTTGAAAAATCATCTGTCTTCTCACTTTATCTCCCAACCAAAAAGAAAAAATGCCCAGCTACTTAATAGAGACACCTATATAACAAACTCCTTTATGTTTGCTATGTGTGGAGTTACACCTGACTCATACAGTTTGGGAACACGCTCCCCACTGTCACATCTGGTCCAGAGAACATGGGTCACACATCAGCCTAGGAAGAGCCACTCTTAGTAAAGAGGCATGGTAGCACAGCATGCACAATTCTGTAAACAAAATCCCAAAAGCTGTACCTGCTGGGATTTGTCACCTACACAAAATCCATTACCCCAAGAGGTATAATTAGTTCTAGGACTTTAAATCCTTTTTATGCAGTGCTAATGTTCACAGATTGACAGACCTACACTCCTAATTTTTGGTCAAATCTTAACAAAGCAAGTTTATATATGGTAATTTATCTCAGTAAGGCTAGTTTATTTAGATAAAGGAAAAGGTGATTATGAACTGAGCATGGTGGCTCACACCTATAATGCCCTCACCCAGAAGGCTGAGATGAAAACACTGCCCCAAGGCAGAGAACAGCATGGACCAGTCAGAGTTCTAGGCCACCTAGCCTGAACTACTGTATCAGATCCTGTCCAAAAGAAGACTTTAAAAAAATAAATCCAACGGCTGGGTGGTGGTGGTGCACGCCTTTAATCCCAGCACTTGGGAGGCAGAGGCAGGCAGATTTCTGAGCTCAAGGCCAGCCTGGTCTACAGAGTGAGTTCCAGGACAGCCAGTGCTACACAGAGAAACCCTGTCTCAAAATAAATAAATAAATAAATAAATAAATAAATAAAATAAATAAATAAATAAATCCAACAAGTTAAAGGACAGGAAGAGAGAAACAACACAGCAGTTATTTTATAGCAGGCCAAGTGCTGATGCCCAGTCTGCTTCCTTTTAAGTACTACCTCAGTTAGTTAGTTTTATAGGAAGCACTGACATATCCCCAGGAACTGAAAGCAAGCTCAGGTAAGAACAGCAGCTAACCAGTGAGTGCTGCAGGCACTACTGTAAGCACTTGACATGGGTACAGCCACACATTTGTGGGGTCTCACTTGTACACTACTGACACACACCCCTAAGGTCTGTGGTTGTATGTGAATACTCACTGATGTTCCTATAATCGGGCCTTTCCACAGATGGAGAGACAGAAAGTGTCTTATTAGTCGGACCCAGAGCTCCAGCCACAAACCTCTTGACTCCTTTGGGAAAAGAGAAAAAAAAAAAAAACAACAGTATGAAGTCACAACTCGCTCAGTCTTTTGCTATGAATCCACAGACTCTAGGATCAAGTACAGTAAGATCCACCTATATTCTCAGTACTCAGAAGCAGGGGGCTGTGAGCTTGAGGCTCACCTGGACTTCCTAGTGAGGCTCAATCTCAAGTAAAATAAAAAGGGCTACAACTGTGACTTTGTGGTAGGGAGTTTGCCTAGCACACATGAGGTACCCATCTTGGCTCAACGCCCCCAGTAAAGAAAAGAAAAAGGGGGTAAGGGAGACTCTTCCTTGAATGCAAGGCTATAAACCCCTACAAGTCAGAAACCTAAAATGTCCTAAAATTTTAAGAATTCATTTGAAACAAAACTTGTATTGAACTAATGAAAGGCTACTTAACTTTATGTCACTGAGATAACTGACAAATTATCTTAACATATTTGTCATAACTAGGAAAATCACACAATAAAAGGGACATATTAATATTACTGCCATAATGATTCAGAAGAACTCTCAAACTTGAGGTCTAAATATTTCTGCATGCAATCTCTATTAAAGCTGTGTGTGTATACTTTCCTCCCTATTCTTAAGAAAAAATTCGAGGTCTTGAATGTAACAAGGTGCCTCACATCAGAACATAATGTGAACTGCTTTACAGCATTATACTACAGGCCTTTCACTCAAGTAAATACTAAATCTGAATGAACAATTATAAAGCCTGAAATTCTAGTATGAAGCCGAATAAATATCACTCTGATCTACATTTTATAAAAAACCTTGCCTGTAGGTCAGAAGTGAACTTGTTTCTATAGAAGTCTAGGAAGTTGTACTCTTATGCACATCAGAACAAAAGCCAGGAGTCCTGTAACTCCCTGCCTGATGACTTCAGTAACACAGTAGTAACACAGGCTGTGCTTTACAACTACACAGGAAAACACTGCCTTCTAGCTAATAATCTACTCTGTGGCTGGGCATGACTGCACACATTTGTGATTCTAGCACTTGAGAGATAGAGGCAGGAGGATCAATAGTTCAAGCTTCCCCTCTGCAACACTTGCTGAGACCCAACTTGGGCTCTAAGACAATTTTTTAAAAAAGCAAAAAAAGAAAAGGAAAAGAAATTATTTTGTAGCCTGTGAAACGGTTACAGGCCCAAATGTTCTTACTCTTACCCAGTGCTGAATAATGGCATTAATAGGTGTAAGGAAAATGTACTTATCTTTGGTGTTTGGACGGGTTCAATAGCCTGTGACCACGTCTCTGTTGGGGTAATAGGCTCTGCAAGCCCATGAACTTAAACACTATCTCTCTGAAACAGATTTCCTGGTAAATTGCTTTGGTCTTCATTAGTATGCTGCCAGTAACTTCCTAATAATTTCTTCACATCTCTGCTACTGACAATAACTTTATATCTACTTCTTCTACTGCTTTTCCTGTCTCCGAGCCTCCCACCAGCCCAAGTGTTCTGATGGCAGCTAGCCAGGTGGTTAATTATTTCAGGAATCACTTTCCAAGACCCAGCAAGACTGAATCTAATGCTATATCCTCTGTCAGCCAGGAAGAGCAATCAGATCATCGGTAGACTACACAGGAAAATGTTCAAAGGCGATCACTGCTTCAGTAAGCAGAGCATGGGGAAGAAGGCAGCTTTAGAGGGATAACATCAAATAATAAAACCAAAATCAAATCAGCCAGTTGCTTTTTAATGACCCAATGATGTGCTTCCAAGGGGGAAAAAAATTTTCCAGTTTTAAGTACACAGAACATCATGAGCCTATCCACCAAGTCAGGCTATAAGCATCACCAGGGTAGAAAACCAGAACTGAAGACCCATGGGGAGTGTCACATCACGGAGACACTGAATGGTTCACTATGATACCACAGAGTAGTACCCTACAAATAAGTAAATTATCTCCTCCCAGGCCAAACATCGTATCAGAGAAACCTACACAGGAGAGTTGAGAACATAAAAGGACTTATGTGTGTGCAACAAAGAAAGGAGGACGTCCCTTACCTGTCTGCAGAGTTATCTCCTCAGCGGCTTTCCTGGCCACATCTGCAGAGCACTTGTTCATCCGGTAGGCCTGACATATCAACCACTGGTTAGTCTGTACTGCTTTTCCTCCATCCAGTAAGGGATCTGTAACTAGCTAATTCTTATTTGAACTCATCAAGGCATTCTAGTAAGAACTAAGGAGGTCTAAGTGAAACCATACTCTGTAAGGCTGATATCTGGACACCCAGCAGGTCAAAGAAGCTGATACAGCCAAATATTCTACAGATTAATAAAATACGCTAGCCCAGGTATAGTAGCCTATATTCCTAGCACTGGGGAAGCTGAGACTGAATTCAAATCTTGCCAAGGCTATATAAGGAGAGACTGTCTTGAAAAAGAGAGAAAGAGAGAGGGCGAGAGAAAGTATTCTAATGGAGAAAACACCAACATCTAAGGCAAGAAACAATAAGATCTAAGACTGTCTCAGCCACCTCAGAACCAGCTGGCAGCTCCCACAGCGACTCTCCCTGACCCTGATTTTCTTACTGGACAATGGTGGGAAGAAGCAGTTCTGAACTTTCTGAAGATTAACACCTTGAAAATCTTGCTGGCTGGTGGTAGTGCACGCTTTTAATCCCAGCACTTGAGAGACAGAGAGGCAGAATTTGAGATCTCTGAATTTGAGGCCAGCCTAGATTACAGAGGGAGTTCCAGAACAGCCAGGGCCACACAGAGAAATCTGGCCTTGGGGAGAAAAATAAATTGATAAAGGGAGCTAAAGAGATGGACCAGTTAAAAGCACTGGATGCTTTTTCAGAGGACCTGAGTTCAATTCCCAGCACCCACATGGTGGCTTTGAATCACCTGTTAATTGAGTTCCAGGAGAACTGATACTCTCTTCTGGCTTCCATGGGCACCAAGCACACTCGGGAGTGCACAGACATACATGCAAGCAAAACACTCAAACAGATAAAAATAAATAATCGTTTCATCTGAGTAAGGATCATGGACTTCACTCTGGGAAAGCAAGCAAGTAGATACACACATGCAAAGCAGTCTACAGCAAGTAAAAGGACCCTTCAGAAGTTGTCCACAACCCAGGCAAGTATCCTTAGATCCGTGATCTGTATCAACCCCTTTAACTGCCTTGGCTCCTCAAATTATGCAATTAGCAAACCAGGATATCCTAAACAGGGCTTGGTGCACTGTGGCTCACGGCCCATCTAACTGTCCACTTCTACACTGGAACAGCCACAGCCACTTACTTACATGTACAGGTCATTCACAGTCAGTGATGTCGCCTTTACTCAAGAACACACTGTTACAGGACTCTCACTTTGCAAAATGAATGGACTACTTACTACCTTCATAAGCACCATGATTCCTGATACTTGGGATTAGACTGACTACTGCTTGGGTGGGTTTTGCCACTACCAATCTTCAATGCAGCAAATACTAATAAACATATTAGACACGAAAGTCTCACCAAGTGTTCAAGGCCATAGTCAGCCTGGGCGATACTAGTGCTGCTGAAAGTGTTTGTTTCAATGATATCTGCTCCAGCCAGCAAGTATTCCTGCAGTAAAAAATAGAAGGTCAGCTGTCATGGGACTTAAGAGACCCTGGCCCCAATAACAAACATGCCCTTTCATGTTTGTCACCAATAACCAACCACATTTTAACTAACATTTAAAACAATACACTCAAGATTAGAGATGCAAGCAGGTCCAAGGATTTTAGAGAAAAGCATTTTTAATACATAAGTACAAAACATAAATTCAGACAACTAACACAGTAAGTTATACAAATTTAGTTATATTCCTTAAACTCTGGTTTTTGCTTTGGGGAGAGGTTGTTGTTGCCATGTTTGTTTGTTTGTTTCAAGACAGGGTGTCTCTGTAACAGCCCTGGCTGTCCTAGACTCCCTTTGTACACCAGGATGGCCTTGAACTCAGAGATGCTGCAGAGATTAAAGGTACACACCACCATTCCCAGCTTGTTGTTGCCATTTTTAAGAGGAGAAAACACAGATATCTCAATGGGCAGTAACAAGAATCCTGCCTATCAAGTTCCTTAAATTTTCTGAGTACCAGCCTCCTCATCCAAAATATTAATTAATACATTTTCTGCCTACAGTAAGTCTATATAATATCTATCAGTCAGCACTTTAAGTGTCTGGCACACCAAGGGCACTCAGAAGACTCCACTTCTGTTCCCTTTGTCTCACTCCTTTAACATAACTGATCTGCACTAAGATCTGCACCATGACTAAGATATCAAAATCTGAGCATGTTGTCTATACACACACACACACACACACACACACACACACACACACTCCAGATCATTGAGACTTGGTATCCTACCACTCTGCTGTTTAAAACCTGCCTTCCTAGTTTCTCTGTCTGGATAACATCCCCATCTCAATCTGACTCACAGCATGGACTCCTTTCATTTTCTAAGTCAACAAACTCAGTCTTCCCTAAGCTGATAATGTTTGCAGAACTAAAAATGAAAACCAACATGAGCACATTTATAATAGCAGTCATCAAGGAGATAATTAATGCAAGTTTATTATATGTCATATGACACCAAAAAAGCCATTGTTTGTTTCTATGACATGGAGAGGACATCCAAAGCACCACTAAACAAGGAAACACAATGTGTAAAGCATATTGCTATAATTGAAATGTGAAATTTACTTAGATTCATGTTTAAAGACTTGGTCCCAACTGGTAGCACTTTCAGGAGGTTGTAGGAGCCTTGGGAAGTGGGCCAAGGTGGAAGAAGGGATCTCCCTCTGCTCTCCTAATGAGCACAATGTAACACGATCAATGCCATATAGTAGGCAACTGCTATCGTGCCTTTCTGACACAATAAACTGTACCTTTTCTATGAGCCAAAATAACCTCTTTTTATTTCTGTCAGCTATTTTAGCAGAGATGACAAAAGTAACCTATACATACAACCATTAAATTTAAAACTTGGTTTTTAAATAAATCATCAGCTTTTCAAATATATCATGTCCTTTTTCCATTTTCTCTAGTGCAAAGGCCATGACAGTCTGAGACTGACACATGAAATAACTTGAACGAATGTTTAAGAGCCTGGAAATAACTCACCTTATGAATTTGGTAAATAACATCAGGCTGAGTTATACTTAAGATGTCATTGTTGCCTTTCAGTGGCCTGGTGTGATCTTTAAACTCTTGCCCTTGGAAACTGTCTTCACTTAGTTTGTACCGCTGGATCATGGTCCCCATCCCACCATCCAGCACCATAATCCTCTTCCGAAGAATGGCTTCAATCTCATCCTGCAAAGTTGTCTTCATCTCTCCTTTAAAGAAAATAAAAACTGACTTCAAAGAACGAAAGAAACTACGTGGGGAATTTAAGCAAGGGGTAGATAGTGCATAGCATGTAAGACCCCTGAGTCTGATCTCCAGCACCACAAGAGGAAAAGGAAAGAGGTAGAGCCTGTAACTCACAACACAAGGTAGAACTCATTAGAAAACTGCTGTCAAAAATGCTGAGGAAAGGGAAGAACAAAAACTTAATCTATAGTATGCTCAACTAATAAAGCTGCTGTAATCCATCCTGGCATGAAACCATAAAAGCACAGGGTGTGACACTGGGAGGAAGGTCACCCATGTGGAATTTCTCTTATTAAGAATGATACTCAGGAAAAAAAAAAAAAAAAGCCAAAAGCTGAAAAGCCAGGCAGTGGTGGCACACACCTTTAATCCCACCCTTGGGAGGCAGAGGCAAGCAGATTTCTGAGTTCAAGGACAGCCTGGTCTACAGAGTGAGTTCCAGGACAGCCAGGGCTATACAGAGAAACCCTGTCTCAAAAAACAAAACAAACAAAAAAAAAAACAAGAACAAACAAACAAAAAAAGAATGATACTCAGGACTAGAGAGATGGCTCCAAAGGAGCCAGGTTCAAATCCCAGCACCCATATGGGAGTTCACAACTATCTATAATTCCAGTGCTAAGGGATCTGACACCCTCACACAGACAAACATAGAAGCAGAATACCAATGTAAGTAACATTTTTTTTAAATGATACTTAAGCATTCTAAGGGGAAAAAGGCAATCATTTCCACAGATAATGAGGCATGGCCTTTAGTGTCAAGTAAACAGCCAATCACTATTCTATTATTTACCATGCCCTTCTCCTTTCACTGAACAAGTGCACACATTTACTGAATCTAAGTGTGAAGAGTGCCTCCTCCCATTTCATAAAAGTACTTGAAGCCACGCATAGAGGCACACACCATTAGTATCAGCAGATGAAGCAGAAGTGAACAAATCTCTGAGTTCAAGGCCACAATGGCCTATAGATTGAGTTCCAGGAGGGCCAGGACTACACAGAGAAACCCTGTCTTTGGTGTGGGCTGGGGAGTACGGGAGTGGAGAAAAAGTGGTACTTTTCAATGGGGTCCCTACCTTACTCACGCTTCAACCTAGAAACAGAAACTTTGTTTTCAGTTTTAAGACACTTCACTACCATAAAATAATTCAGTTCTCACACATATGAATTCTGGGATCTTGTTTGCCAAGACACCAGATATACATGAGACAACATGTTCACATATTTTTAGAAACTAAACATGGTATTTTTAGAAACTTGCTAGATCTGTAATTTATATGAAAACTTCTATGACTGATTATGAACTTGAAACTTATGTTTCAAGAACCCAACTCGGAGGGATGGAAGAAAGGAAAGAGTCAGGGATCTTAATCCATAAAAACACAGGGATAGATGGGGGAGGGGTGAGAATGTGAGTTTGTGGGGTGTGTCTGTGTGTGTGTGTGTGTTGGGAAATGAACCCAGTGACACCAGGGACTTACATATGATAAAATATACTATCAGGCCAGCAGCTATAATTTTTTTGTTTTTTGTTTTGCTTTGTGAGACAGGACTTAAAACATATCTCTTGCTCTCCTGGAATTTACTATGTAGACCAGGCTGGCCTCAAACTCACAGAGATTTGCCTGTCTCTACTTCCCAAGTGCTAGGATTAAAGGCATATACCACTATGCCTTGCCCTATAATTTATAAGTTTAATTCTAAAAAAGCTAAAACAAAAGTATAGATAAAAGATTAGGAAAAGATTCTGCTATATAAAGGGTTTAACATCTAGAACTTTCATACAAAAACAAAAACAAAAACAAACAAACAAAAACAGGAAAAAGACAAATAGAGCCAAAGAAAAGAAATGTTAGGCCTTGATAAGACAAACCTATTATCCTACCCCTTAAAAAGTAGAGTCAGGTTGTACTCAGCTACACAGCAAGTTTGAGATCAGTTGTATTATGAGACTTATCTTAAAAAAAAAAATAGAAAACTAGGCAAAAACAAATAAATTCTTAAATTAAGTACCTATCAAAGATAAGAATTAAAACAAGATGATAAATAGCTATTATTCCCAATAGACATATACTCAGTTAGTAAATGCCAAAGAAAACCTGAACTTTGTGTTTGCTTGCTGGAGTGTAGACTAGAGCTAGAGCCATTCTAGAGAGTAGCCTTACAGGGCTCAGTTAACCACACAGAAAACTCAGCAACTTCACTCTTGGATACAGATTTTCCAAAAAGAAAGTATCACATATGAGAAGGCAAGAAGATACTTGTAAAAGTGGCAGAGGCAAACTCAGAAAATTTCTTCCTATATGAAATGTGATAGATACTCACCAGGGGATACTACATGTCAATAAATAGAGATTGTAATGATTTGTATATGCTAGACCTAGGGAGTGGCACTATTAGAAGGTGTAGCCCTGTTGGAGTAGGTGTATCACTATAGATGTGGGCTTTAAGACCCTCATCCTAGCTGTGTGGAAGTCAGTATTCTGCTAGCAGCCTTCAGATGAAGATGTAGAAACTCTCAGCTCCTCCTGCACCATGCCTGCCTGGATGCTGCCATGTTCCTGTCTGGATGATAGTGGACTGAACCTCTGGAGCTGTAAGCCAACCCTAACTGGATGTTGTCCTTTTCAAAGTTGCCTTGGTCATGGTGTCTGTTCACAGCAGTAAAACCCTAAGACAGAGATACTATGGCAATATAGCTGGTTCTTCTTTTTTTAATTAATTTATTTTCATTTATTATGTATATAGTGTTCTGCCTGTGTGCATTCCTGCAGGCCAGTAAGAGTGTACCAGATCTCATTATAGATGGTTATGAGCTACCATGTGGTTGCTTGGAATTGAACTCAGGACCTCTGGAAGAGTAGCCAGTGCTCTTAACCTCTGACTTATCTCTCCAACCCAATATTGCTGGTTCTTAATGGGATAGTGAATGAACATAAAAGGCAGAAACAATTAATTACCACATTTATGTATATTTCCATCTTTGCAACAGTTCACTATGTACCATAAACAACCAAACCACCCACATGTACAAATTCTGAAATCTACAAGGAAATACATAGATATATGGGTATATATGAAAGAGTCTACAGAAGCAAAAGAATCATGAGTAACAAGTACAAATAGATAAAAAGAGTACACATAATAAATGAATGGAAATTGAAGACAAAACTCTGTAGCTTAGGTCCTTGAAAATCTATTGCTAGCCAGGCATGGTGGTACATTCCAGTAATCCCAACACTGTCAGAAGCAGGAGGATCAGGACTTCAAGGCTATTCTTGTCTATACAATGAGTTTAGAGGCCAGCTTTGGCTACAAGAGACTTTTTCTCAAAACAACTATAAAATACAATTCTTCATCATCCATATGCTTATTATCCTTAAAGAGTAATGTATAATTTATCATAAGAGGCCACTAATTCTTTTAGTAGGAAGTTATCTCTTACTAGGTCTAATTATCATTAGAGATCAGCATTCCGCAGGGCGGTGGTGGAGCATGCCTTTAATCCCAGCACTTGGGAGGCAAAGGCAGGCGGATTTCTGAGTTCGAGGCCAGCCTGGTCTACAGGGTGAGTTCCAGGACAGCCAAGGCTACACAGAGAAACCCTGTCTCAAAAAACCAAAAAAAAAAAAAAAAAAAAGAAGAGATCAGCATTCCTGATTACCATCAGAACCTTCTCTTAAATGTAAATCCCCTTGGGCCAAGGAGAAGGCTCAGTAGGAAAACGTACTTACTGTATAAACCTGATGGCCTGAGGTCAGTGTCCACATCCCCATGGTAGGAGGAAAAAACAGGTCTCCTGAGACTTTAACAAGCACGTGCCAACCAGCATACCTGAACCACCCCTCAAACAATAAGTAAAATTTAAAAACTAAATCCTCTTGATGACTATCTTTTGCCTTAGCATAGTGTGGGCATTCATTTCACTGAAACTTCATTCTTCTGTAAAGAACCACCCCCACCCCAAAAAAGTTTCTGTGTTCAGTTCATTAGGTCTAGATGTTTTATAACTTAATAGAGCAGATTCTATGTCTGATCTTAGCCAAAAAGTAGGGAAGTGATGACTCCCCCGACTCTAAGTAGAACGGATTTTTTGACATATCTGTAAAGGTGAATAAAAGAACGCATGGTTTCATAGTAACTCCCAGTAGATGATCAGAAAGAGCTTTATGTTGAATATCTGTGTACATGTAAATAAGTGTTATATAGAAAAAAGTTCCAAGAACTGTCCTGGTAAATAAGCCCAAGAAGCGAGATCACACTGTATTTACCGCAGTTTGAGTAGATCCTACAGCTTTGTAGGATTGGGTGTTTCGTTGGTTTAGGTTTTGGGTTTTTTCTTTTTTTCTTCTTTCCTTCCTTTTCTTGACTTGGTGCCATTTGTATTCATAGCAAATATTTCAAAGGATAGATAGCTGTAAGACTAACTGGTTACAGCATTCATAGATGCTGAAAGGAACATAAAGTCAGGTAGCACCTGAGAACTACGTAAGAGGGGATAGAGCTCAGGGTAAATCACTTGTCTAGCATGTATGAAGGCTTACAACAGATCCCCAGCACCCCCAGCACTGCAAACAAACAAATGAAAACCAAGCAACTTAAAGAATAAGAAGTTATAAGATGATTAGTTCCTAATATGTGCATGTAAGTGACTTGATGTAGTGTCAGGAACACAGCTCCTCTGGAGACAATGGCTTTAACATGGGTCTGCAAAAGGACTTCCCTTTCACAGGACAAAATGGAGGAGAATTAAAACATACTTCTCTTTTCTGCACTATAAGCAAACTACCTCAATGCTTTCTCAGCAGTTTCCCACTTTGGCTATTTTAATATCTGCCCCACAAGTTCCTTGCAGGATACTTCTTTTATTTGGGGGCCTGTAATCTCTAGTTTGCTACATTTTATAGGCATCTGTTTACATATTATCTCATTTTTTAAATATATTTTTTCCTCCCACTAATTTTTAAAGGCCACAAGAGATCTGAGCTGCTACCAACTCACTGGCTCCTTTTATTCATTCTTCCATTAATCATTCTTAGTTAAGTTCATAAAAAACATGCAAGGAAGAAGCCAAGAAATCACTGGAAGCTGCAGTTGAAACTTTCTCACATAAGGGCCTGAGGTTATTCTCTCTCCCTGACCACCTGCTGGAAGGGTGAACTCTCCAACTTGACACTTGCTAGGCAACCATTCCACGACTGATAAATCCACAGCTCAGGACACATACAGCTTTTCGCTCAACCCCGAAGTTCAATAATCTCTGAGTTCTTCCTTAAGACTTGAAAGCAAGACAGGAAATAATGCAGAGAGAAACAAAAAACAAAAGCCGGGCATCAGTGACTAAGGGTTTTTAGGATGTTAAAACGTGGCTGGAATGGCAACAAATAGGTGAAAGAAGCAGAAATATTTCTAAGCCACAGGTAAAGAGGTAAGGAGCCTAGAACTTGAAGTTCAACCATGGAGAAAAGTAGAGAAGAGAGCAGGGCCAGGCGCAAATATTCAACCATTTTTCTTTCATTTTCTGCGAAGGGATCACTCACTATTCAATCTATTCTAAATTTTCAGAGGCTTTCTGCTAACAGCAATAACTATATTCAAAAGAAGAAATTACTCTTCCTTCTTTAAAAAGAAAGGAAGAAGCCCTAAAAGACTAAATAACTAAGCCACACCCCTATGAAAAAGAGTGATCTTATTTTATAGCAACAGTTACATGCTGTCTGGCACTGTCCCACTAGTTTCAAGAACAAATCTACCAGCCCTATTTGTCAGATATCCACCCTCCTCGTAGGGCTACACACTATGCCATAACATACTCACTCTGTCTTAAAAATAAACAAACAGGATCTGTTACCCAGGCTTGTCTTGAACTCATTATGTAGCAGAGACTAGCTTTTTAAGCTTAAGACCCTTCGAGGCTAGTTTTATACAGAGCTAGGGATTAATTAAACCAGAGCTTCCTGCCCGCTGGGCAAGCACAACCTGATCTCCTTATTACTAATTCTCTCGTTTCTGCGTCTAACCTCATACGTCTAATAGGAATCTCTGCCCAATTTTTTAAGACACACAAAACTGAAATTATATTCCCTTTGTGTCTTTTCTCGTGGTGGAAGCCGGTACCACCAATATCAGAATCATTCGCGATTACTATTCCACCTCCCATGCTCACCCCTGGGTACTGGGAGTCCGGTTGGCCCACCGTCAAGCCAACGCCGGAGTTTCCAAAAGTAAAGAGTAGAAAAGGAAACTAAAAGCCCACGTGGTTCAACTGTCTAGACTGCCTTGCCCGCCTCCCAACATCTGAACTGGTCTCTGGCAGACAGCGTTCTGTAAATATTTACTGAATACAGTTACATCATGCAGAACTTCCAGGTGCCCAGCTGGAAGTTGTTGCTAGAAACTGCAGCGCTAAAGTCAATGCTCGTCGCTCCTGTACTGGACCGAGGGTGTGCGGGTGAGTGAGGAAAGAGACCCAGCAAGGACCGCGTCCCCGACACACACACACACACACACACATACACACACACACACACACACGAGCGGGCTGCGTCTCCGAAGGAGAAGCACCAGAAGAGCTGAGGCACCCACAGAACCGTTAGACCTGTGTGGAGGAGTTACCAGGTTGCACCAGCGCAGGCGACACGCCGCCAAGCGTCCTCCTCAAGCAGGGAAGGCTTGATCTCCAAAGAATCCCACCGCGGACGGCTCCAGCCAGCGTTTTCTGGCCTGACGAAATGACTGACAAGATCCCTGAAGCTCCAGAGCCGACACACCGGGCCTCCGGGTACTGTGCCGCGGGCACGCGCTTCTCACCGAACTCTCAAGCGCAAAGCTCCCCGCTACAGCGCAAGGCCGCAGCTAAAGACTAAAAGGAGTAAACGACGTAGAGACGGCCACAGCACCGCCACAGCGCCGTTAGCTCTCGGCTCAATCTAGCCTCCTGCAGGAGGGCCCGCCCCCTCTCCAGCCCGTGATTGGTCCTCACCCGCTCCTCGCCGCTGTGTATAGGCTGTGGTCGCAACCAATCGCCGCAGGCTTTGCTCCCTGGCCCTATGGGAAATGTAGTCCAGCGTTCTGGGTCCCTATGGAGACCGGAGCGTCTCTTCTCTGAGTTCCGGAAATGCCTCCCAAAGAAGGCATTCTGCTCCAAGTTCTAGCGGAAGAATCCATACTATAGTATTGGTTCGCACCAGTGGTGCAGTATCAAGGACCAGGAATCTGAGGTCAGAAAATTAATTGTAGTTAGTTTTGCGGACACTAAATGTCTTGTCTCCCTCATCCACAGAAAAGAAAGACTAGAATGAAAGTGACTATTATAGGCTTGAAATAGGGATTAAAATAACCCGTGAGTGCACTATAGAAATTCTAGGTATGATAGATGCTAATGGCCACACTGATAGTAAACATTTATTGAGTATCTATATATAAAACGTTGAGATCCACAGTTGGATAGCATAAGTGGGCCAGTAAGAACTCTGCATAAATAATTAAACGTGAAAAAAGAAAATAGGAAATATCCCAAAGGGTTTATGGTATTCTAAATCAAATACGTACCTGGGTGTTTTCTATGAGGGGTAGAAACAGAAAGATTTTGGGGTTTTGTTAGCTGCCAGCCTGTATAAAAAAAACCAGTGAGCCAGAGATTCAGAAAACAATCTTGGCTCAAGAAATAAGGTGGATGGTGAGAAACAAGAATACCAGATGTTTTCCTTTGGGCTCTGCAAGCCAGGGGCTCATTCATCTTAGCACATAAACATGCATACACCACACACACACACACACACACACACACACACACACACACACAAAGTACCTGGGTCTTAAAGGAAGAGTATGTTCTTTTTGGTCAGAGAAAATACACTTAAATAAAACACAATACTGTTTAATATAGTACAGTTTGGCTTTGAATTAGCCTCCTGTGTATCACCAAGACCTGCAAAACACAGCATTTTTTTTTCAGATTTTAAAAACAAAGGATAAAGCTGGAGAGATGGCTCAGTGGTTAAGAGCACTGACTATTCTTCCAGAGGTCCTGAGTTCAATTCCCAGCAACCACATGGTGGCTCACAACCATCTGTAATGGGATCTGATGCCCTCTTCTGATGTGTAATGAAGACAGTGACAGTGTATTCACATATATGAAATAAATAAATTCTTAAACAAAAAGAGACAGTCAGTCAACTATAGATCACTGCACCCTGGTCACAGTTGAAAGCAATCAACAGTCAGGGTAATTATTTTTAAAATAAATAAATAAAAACAAAGTTCAGTAAGGTCGGTTATGGTTAAAGAGATCAAAAACAAATGTGTCTAGAAAAATAAAAAGATACATAAAGCTAGTAGTGGTGGTACAAGGGTAGTGGTTCAGACCCATAATTCCAGCATTTAAGAGAATGAGGCAGTAGGCTTATGAGTTCCAGCCTAGCCTGGGCTACATAGCAAGACTGTGTTCATGGGAGGAAAAAAAAAGCATAACATTCCCAAGTTACTGTATGTAATTGCACCACAGTTTTTATTTATTTGATTGGCTTTTTCCATTTGTTTCTCAAGAGGAGGTCTCACATTGTAACTATTCTAGAACTGCTTAGTAGCCCAGGTTAACATCAAACAGACAATCCTCCTGCCCAGCCTTCTAAGTGTTGGCATTATAGGTATAAGCCACCTACACCTGACTCAATTAGTAAACTTTAAAATTATAGTATATGTTGAAGAGGTAGCTCATCCGATAAAAGCACTTGCTGCTCTTGCAGAGGACCAGATACAGTTCCCATTACCCACATGATGGATGGCTCACAAACTTCTGTAATTCAGGTTCCAAGGGATACAGTGCCATCTGGTGGCCACCTGCATGATGTACACACATGCATTTAGGCACATACTCATACACATAAAATAAAAATAAATCTTTAAAATGTATAAGAGCCGGGTGGTGGTGGCCCAGGCCTTTAATCCCAGCACTTGGGAGACAGAGGCAGGCGGATTTCTGAGTTCGAGGCCAGCCTGGTCTACAGAGTGAGTTCCAGGACAACCAGGACTATACAGAGAAACCCTGTCTCAAAAAACCAAAAAAAAAAAAAAGAAAAGAAAAAGAAAAAAATGTATAAGAATATATGTAGCACCCTTGTGTAGGAGATGTAAACAAAACATACTGTCTTTTCTCTTTTTATTTATTGCACTGGAAGCCAAAGAAAGGAGTTAGGTCTGCTGGAACTGGAGGTACAGGTGGTCATGAACTGCCGGAAGTGGGTGGTAGAACCAAACAAAATCAGCAAGTGTCCTTAACCACTGAGCCATCATTGTAGTCTGTACTATCTTTTCTATCAAAGGGGTTTAAGTAAGACAAACTCCATTAATTTGTTTGTTTGCTTGTTTTTTGAGATCGTCTCATTATATGACCCTGCCTGGAATGGATCTTGCTATACAGACCGGCATCTAATCCACAGAGATCCACCCACCTCTATCTCCTGAGCACTAGAATCAAAAGCATGTGCCACCACACCCTATTTTTAAAACTGACTCTATTTTTTTAAAAAATTGCACATAAGCTATTTGAAAAAAAAAATCAGATGTTTCCAGGGTCTGAGTCTTGAAATCAAATCAAGTGCTCAAAGTTACACTTTGTGCTCAAAATTGCATTCTTCTTACTGAGTAGCATTAAATTAACCAGACTCATAAGAATGTAAAGCAACCTTGTGGTAGGAATACAAACCCAGTGAGACACCCACTCACTGGGTGTGCTTGCTTGCTCAAGCGCAGCTACATACACCTCTACAGAAATAAAGTTTTTGCCTTGCTGGAATACTTGGATTGTGAGATAATTTTCTTGAGAACCCAAGCCTGTTCTATACACATTAACAAAGATGGCTATACGTGGGAGGGAAGATATGGAGTAGGTAGGAAAGAATAGGAGAGAGGGAGAGAGAGGGGGAGGGAAAGGGAGAGAAAACCTGAGATAACAGAAGATTTTGCTAAGAGTATAAAAACTACTTTTCCAATTATCACCTATCATTCAAAGTTTGTTGATAAGTTCATAGTTAGTTAATAAAACAAAGAAAAATTCATAAGTCAAGAATTTTTATGGGTTAAAAATTGAGAACACGACTGGAAGAGTCTGGACTGGGTCAAGAGAGGAAAGAGCAGGCAGGGGACGAGAGGACCTGTAGAGAGGGGGCAAGGGAAGACATGGCTGACATGGCAGTTTTGTAGGAATGAGAAGGGAGCTGGAAAGATGACTCAGCAGTTAAGAGCACTGACTGCTCTTCCAGAGGTCCTGAGTTCAATTCCCAGCAAGCACGTGGTGGCTCATAATCATCTGTAATGGGATCTGATGCCCTCTTCTGGTGTGTCTGAAAAGAATGAAGGTGTATTTGCATACATAAAACAAGGACTGAGAAGCTGGGGAAGAGAAGGGAAGCCCTTGGGCTGAAGAGGTTAGGTGGGGGCGTGGGGAGAAGTGCTGGGAGGAGCCACAGGTATCAAGGGAGCCTTGTTCTGGGTTTCTTTGAAATCTGACGTGTTACAAATACATTGTTTAGAAACATCGGAAAAGAAGATTACAGCAATGTGGGGAAACCTCTGCTATCTGCCTCAGAGGCTATCAGATGGTGTTAGACTTTGTTTGATGGAAGCGTGTGTTTTGTTAATTTAATACAGCCCAAAAGGTTTTTTACCTCCTAATCCTGGGGTTTTAGGTCTGACACAGAAGCTGGCTATGTATGGCTGTTTAGAAGACTAAAATAGTCCAAGCTAAATTTAAGTAGGTGGTGGACCTGCAACATTCCACACGCTCCACTTCCACTCAAGTCCTAAGGAGTTAATCAGCTTGGTTTAGAGGTGCAGCTTCTGGGAACTGTTGTTCACGAAACTTAATCAGCTTAAATTAAGATTAGAACTTGATAGCTACTCATTCCTCTCACCGTTAACAGTGAGATACAAGGAGGGAAAGGGACAGCACCCTGAACTGGATGCTGTCTTATATTACAGTGAGACCCCTTGTCAAGATAAACAACTAAAAAGTCATTTCTGGTACAGATTTTAGTTCTGCTTTTGCAACTTTAGTTCGCCTTCATCCTGTTTGATCTGTCCTTATTTCTTTCCTCAGTGGTGCCTGTCTTAGTCTTTCTATTGCCATGGTGAAACACCATGACCAAAAAACAAGTTGGGGAGGAAAGGGTTTATTTGGCATTTACTTCCACAGCACAGTTTATCATTGAAGGAAGTCAAGACAGGAACTCAAACAGGGCTGGAACCTGGGGGTAGAAGCTGATGCAAAGGCCATGGAAGGATGTTGCTTGCTAGCTTGCTCCCCATAGTCTGCTCAGCCTGCTTTCTTACAGAACCCTGGATGAGCAGCACCTCCCACAATGGGCGGGGCCATCTTCCATCAATCACTAGTGAAGAAAATGCCTTATAGCAGGATCTCATTGAGGGATTTTCTTTATTGAGGTTATCTCAGGTAAGTCTAGTTTGTCAAGTTGGCATAACCAGCAGAGCCCATGACGAATGCTGCTGGGCCAATGCTTTGTTCTCTTAGCCTCTGAACTTCATTCTTCATCTTCTCTATCCTCATTTCAATTTTTTCTAATTAGGTTCTGACCATAGTACCATTTCATGGCTCATGCTGAGTATTCATAGGGACTTTCTGCCTCCTGTGTAAGCACTGTGAACCTTCTTCTTTCTCCGGTCTTGTCTTGCAAAGGCCCATAACAACCCACGTCCTATCCATTTGCCTCCATGGCTTCCCTTCCAGGAAGTTCTTAGCCATACAAAAGGAATTACTCATGTGCCTTGATAACCCCCGCCCCCAAGCATTTCTTCTTCACTTTTGTTTTCTCAGTGGAGAAGCCTAAACTGCTATAGTGGGAACTTGTTTTGAAACAGAGATTTACACAGACCCAGACAG